AAGGGGAACCAGCATCAACAATGCAGTTGCTCAATCTAAAATTAGGTTATCAGATACAGAGCAAAACCAACAACCAGCCCCAGCTTTTTCCACATTACTGACTCTTTGTCCATTCAGTTTAACATCTGCATAGATCAGCAGCTGACACTGTTTATGGATTGGAGAGAACCCACCATCCAATGTGATTTGTCTGCTATGGACCTCCTGCCAAATTAGTGACCTTGTCAAGAATTCATGTGATCCATAAGCAATTTGAAAGCAAAACCAATTTTTATAGAAGCACTAGATGCCAGGACAATTAACTAAAAAGACATGAGAGTTCAAAAGATTTACTGTGTTTTAAAATGCAAATTTTGCTTTACAGACATAGTCTAATTGATCCCTTGGGGATCTATCTTCCCTTGATCCTTCATCTAGAGCCCAATTATACCCAGCCCATTTCTACAGAAATAGCTGGTAGGAACAGATGCTTGAAAGAAGAATAGAGATGACAAGACATTTATGAGAATTCTGCAGATGTTGAAATGTTAATCCATTTCAAGATCTGCAGAATTCTTGTAAATATCTTGTCATCTCTATGACAAGGAAATGCATGTTTGGATGATGTTTTCATGGGCTGTTTCAGTTCATATGAGTAAAGAAATGAAAGTGGTCCTGTAGTCTTATTGCAAGCTAACTACAAATCTCCATTTTATCCAGTGGAGTCACACAACATTGTTTGATACTTAGGATCCAATTTACGTTCTTATATATTGGACAATTGTTAGCCATAGTTCAAGAGTTCATAAAAGTTGGCAACAAAATATGAACAGTATGTTAATTGTTCACTCTTCCAGGAGAAATGACTCTAACACAAACTAAGAAAATGGGCCTGGTTCATACAAAAGACTAGATTTCCCAAGGAAGCGCCCATGAATTCCTCTCTTCAGGCTCTATGCCCCCCACTTCACTTTCTAGCCATGTTTTCTCAATTGGCTCTCCCTAAAGTATCCACCACAAACTCCCCAAATATACCCACGGTTGGACAGCTGCATCCATTCATGGCTCATCCACACATCTGGCTTGCTGCAGTGATAAGACAACTCTACCAATCATTTGTCAAGGGCAAAACCTTTGACCAGGGGTCCTCAAGCTTGGCAATTTTAAGACTTGTGGACTTCAGCTGCCAGAATTCTCCAACTAGCTGGTTGGAGAATTCTGGGAGTTGAAGTCCACAAGTCTTAAAGTTGCCAAGCTTGGAGACCTCTGCCTTTGACAATTGAAGAAACTGTCAAAGGCTCCATGTGACCAAGACTTCCACATCTTTCACGCATTGTTACTTTCACCATGACAATTCTGTGTTTCTGGGGGCTGAAAAATCACAGAATAGAATTTTGAAACCAGACCTTAAAAAGCATGATACAATTTCCAGACCCTGGAGAAAATGAAGGTACTATTTATTTTCCAGTCCAGAACTGGCCCGAGGATGGGGAAACACTCTACCCAGGGAGCTGCTTTTTCCCCTGGAAAAGAAGATATGCAAAGAGATAGCTCCCCAGCTCTCCATGTGATACGTGGGTCCATCAGTTCAGAGGCTGTAAGCTTCCCTTTCCAGCAAATCTGAAGACATCAATCTATCTAGTTGCAAAGAAAGGCAAAAAATAAGTAATAATGATGATGGCTTGAACTGCCAACCCAACCCCACACTCAGTCAGGGAGTAATTGGCTATTCATCTTTCCACAAGTAGATGACAAGCATGGGAGGGAAACCACAAATTATTGCCTTGAAGCTATTCTACATTATATGGTGTGAGGCCTGCAACAGCAGCAGAAAGATGTAGGTTATGGATTCAGTGGTGTTTATATCATTGTCTCATCTCAAGGATGGGAGTAAAGCACACTGAGGAGAGACAAAAGTGTCACCCATCAAATGTGGCAGAATAAAGTCTATTTTATTCATGTGACAAGTACAGATAAGGCCTTGATTTCTTTGGTCACATAACCCATGTTTTACCTGGGTTCACATAATATGCTAAGCCAAAACCAAATAGATAAAAGATGAGGTCCTGCTCAGAACATGTTTCCATTGAAATACATACAGAATATGATGTAAAAGATGTAATACTCAAATTTGGAGTAACTTTGCCTTCTTGTGGCAAACAGCTTTGCAAGCAAACAAAACATAATTCCTTTTGCGTTAGGAGTTCACAAGCAACCTACCAGCCATTCCTCAGGAAATCATGCAGATGAGAGTTCCCATATAAACTTTGATTTTGATATTGTGCTAAGCCATGATGTTCCTCATCTGAATAAACCACAATTGGCTGTGTTTATATAAAATCTTACACTTTAATTCATTACACTCCACATTGCAAAGATAGAAGTTAACAAGTTGACATGACTTACTAAGCTAGATCTAAATAAATCAAACTTTGGCTTAACACCATTATTATCCAAACCACACTTCTATTTAAAATTAAACTATATTTCATTTTAAAAGATGCACTTCTTCAAAACTGTGGCTGCACCTGGATTTTGCTGGTGGCCTTATTACAAAATTTGTAATAAGAATAAAAAACCAGAACCATTTTTATGTAGTTTCATTTAAATTCAACAAAATATAATTCACATGATTATTCCCATATACTTTTCTTTCAGTCAAATTAAACATTACAGCCCTTTAGCAAACTTCTGGTTGGTTCAGCCTCTGAGGAATAAAAAACAAAGTCAGGAATCATGAGTCATGATGCCCTTTACCTTATATGTTTAAAAGATATGCTGCCTCACAAGGTGGCTGATGTTGTAAAAGTATAAGATAACAAGAAGATAAGAAGAAACCAAGCAACACAATAGCATTTTTTAAAATGAAGTAATTCCCAATCAAAACAAAGGCAGAGTTGATTGAATCTGGACCTTAACAGTAGAAGAGACATCAGGCAATGGACTGGGAGATAATATTACAAAATATTCAATCATGACCCAGTCAAAGGATCATCAAAAAGATACTATATTTACACAGAGCTTTTGTATAGAAAAAAAAAGGTCATTGATTGAACAAAGCCATAGTGTCCTTGTAGTTCACACATTATGTAAACTAAAAGCAGTCAAAGTGCTGAATGGGACAACAGGATACAACAACCAGGCTAGTGACCAAGCATTGCTTGAAGATCCCTAAACTATAGCGAGATGGAGATGGCAGGCTGAATGAATTTGTACAGGGCTTTTGTAGGCATCAGGTTTACACCTAAGATTTTGGGTCAAAGGAACAATGTCTATTTTTTTTAAAAAAAGTAATAATCTGGGAGCATTTCACTTATCTGTTAACTAGCAAGCCAGAGATCACATTCCAAAAACTACCAGGAGCCAGAATATAAAAGTGGTTGCGGCTAAATTAAAAACTAATGTAATTCTGTTTTAATTTAAAATGAATTTAATAGTTATTTTAATTATTGCCCTTGCATTTAATAATTCCCTTCATCTATATTAATTTTAAATAGGTGGCTTCTTTAGGAGAGCTCTGGAATCTCAGGCAGGGCAATTTTGCTCTAGCCTTAAATAGAGATACAGGTTCTCCTTAACTAGGCAGAATAGAAAACTGCTCCTTATATTTTCAAAATATTGTGCACTTCCCAGGTTTTCCTTCTTGAAAAACATGGTTGCAATAGAAGCTTTTGTTCAGGTCCTTGTAAAATCTCAATGTGCAATGAAAGCTTCACTTAACAGTGATACAAGATGTGGATGGAAAACATCCGGACTGATGAAGAAAACTCTGAGTAGTTAGGAATTTTTCTTTTTCTATTTTCTTTTTGACATTTTGGTTAGTCTTAATAAGGAGGGCCTACAGACTCAAAAAAAAAAAGTAATGGACAAATGCATTTAGAAACCTACCAACAGGACTGAAAATAACTAGAATTCAATTCTCTACTGAGCTGGGCAACAGACAGGATTACTTTTAGAAAGACCCAAAAGTGCTTTTTCAACAGGCAACTGGACTTTCCGGTTTTTCTTGGAAGACTTTCACTTCTCATCCAAGAAGTGAAATGTCTTCAGAGAAAAAACATAAAGTCCACTTACTTCTTGAAAAAGCACCCTTGGAACAATCATTACCTAGATGACTGAGAATCTCCATTATTGTCTCACAGCCCAATTTTATAAGGTTGTTGTGAAACTTAAATTGTAGTTCCCACCCATGTTTACTTTGCAGGAAGGTAACACCGTATAGGTGCAGTCATGGGGGAACGGGTTTGTCAAGAGGTGCAGGGATCAGAGCAATAGGATGGAATAGATGGGGCTGCATCACATATATATGGGGGGGTTCTTGCCATCTTTTCATTAAGAGATTTTTTTGAAAAACGTTTGTTCGGATGCTTACAATACCGAGTGTCTGAGGGTGCGACTTTTAAGAACAGGGCAACATTTGGCAGAAATCAGATAGCGCTTCTAGCGGTGGTTCATATTTCTCGATGCCACTTAAAGGGAAAATCCACAAACATCCGAAAGGTTTGGTAAGCATCGGGGGACAAAATTGGTTTTTTTCCCCACAAAAAAAAATTCCCAAATCGGCTCACTCTTGTTAAAAAAAAGAGAGAGGGGGACACTAAAAACCCCATGCCAGCTTTTATTCCCGTGCAAACGTTGAGAGGATGGCAAGTTCAGAGAAACCACGAACCATGACACTGCAGGAAGAGCTTTGATTCCGAGTAAACCAGAGCCCGATCTCAGCCGACGCCCTGCACAGGGCAACCGGACTCTAGATTTGCATTGGTCCCAACCAAGCAAAGTGGAAAGCAGCACGATTGTCCAGGTTAAATTCACCATTCCCCTCCCCACTTCACCCGACCCCCACCCGACCCCCGGCGAACCTCCCGAAAACAGATTTGCCGGGTTAAAGGATGACGCGAGGGGTTGAGGAGGTGGGGGAAAGAATCAGGTGATTCAGGGGAGTGGGAGGGAATGACGCGCCTCAGGGTCAGGTGCTGCGGTTGCGGCTGTCGCTGGCAGAGCGGAGCGGCCACGTGAGGTGAGTCAGCGCGGGGCGGAGCGGCTGAGGGCGGGGCTGTGGAGAGGCGGCTCTCGGGGTGGCGGTGGGGACCGTAGATAAGGCGGGCAGAGCCGGCGGGCGAGCTGCTGAGGCCTTTGGTGACTCTGCCAGTGCTGCCTTAGGTAAGGAAGGGTTTTATTTGGACGGGAAGCCGTGATCCAAGGTTAAACGTGCTTAAAATCGGGAGCGAAGTTTCTCACATTTACAGGAAAGAGAGAGGCAGGAGGCGCAGCCGATTCGGTGGCTTTGCCCCCCCCCCCCCCCAAAAAAAAAACCTGGTGCCCCCTGGATAAGTGGGGGGGAGGGATGGAGCCTCGTTGTCTTCCAGAGCCAGTCGTTGTAGCTGCTGATTTTTAAAAGGTGGCCAAGGGATGGGCCGGCTTCGCATGTCGCGCTTCCCTTGGCTTTTAATTATTATTATTGTTGGTGTTGTTATCGTTATCATTATCATTATTATTAACATCTACTCCGCCCAAGATGAGGACTTGGTTTGCACGACACTCGCGGCTAAAAATGTCTTTGCACGAATAAAGCTATTTTCTGGGTAATTTGCTCGAACAGGAAGTTTTTTGATTTCTGCTTAAGAGGAACAATGTAATTATGAAAAGATTTCCTGCTCCTGGCAAACTGTGACGAAAGAGAGAGCCAAGTCCATTTGGTTGAACTTTGGATGAGTATGGATCATGCAAACTCTTGGTCAGAATCTTGGAAAGAGCCTGTTTTTTTGTGTGTGTGAGTTTGCATAGTCTCCCACCAATTTTGCTCCAGATCCCATTTCATGGGCCTTGGCTGTGGGTTTATGTTTGAGTGTGAGCTTTGAAGTAGCTTCCTTTCTACTATATTCAGTTTATTTCTACCATATGGATTGACTCATTGAAGGGATTTCAGTTCAGGATAACCATCCCCCCATCCTGGCTTCTTCAGATAGGAGGGAAACTTCTGTAGCCCCAAGCCAGCATAGTGATTGGGGTGTGTGGATCCCCATAGGGGAATGAATGAGGAACGAGTTCATTGCTATGTTGGACTCAAAATTGAAATCAAAACCAGCCAAGATGGTAAGGAACTCCCCAGTGACATTTATATGCTGGTAAAGTAGCTTACTTTGAATTAACTGAAAGGTGTAAGATGCCTCATTTATCCAAAAAGTTCTGGATCTTTTGGGGGTCAGAAATATAAAAGGCACCCGTTCTTCATGGTATTTCAGAAAGAGTTGATCCCCTTTCTGGGGAAGCTTTCAGACATCCTTAAACTGGCAGAAAAGTATTGAGGGGAGAATTTGCTTCCTTGCTGTTGATCCCTATCCTGCTTGTTCTGAATTGGTGCTGAATGAGACCATCCTTATTTACTATGTGTGCAGAACACATAAAACCTAGATAGAAGCCATGGCCTTGCTTCCCTCTCCTTCCCTCCTATCAAGTCCCACCAGCCATACATCAGCTGACCAGTGGGGGTGAAAACCTGGAGCAACCAGAGGACGAGTGCTGGTCAGCTACTGTTCAGTTTATTTCAGATTTGGTGCAGAGAGTGAGTCTGGCTTCCAAGAGTTGGACTTTCCTGCCCTAAGTAATTGGAAGTTGGATTGATTCCACCACACCTTCTGGGATCGCCTGACTGCTGTTGACAAAGCAGGGAAGTGTGTCAGTTATATTTGGTGTAAACGCTATTAGGGGAATATTACTTCAACACTGGAGCAACTCAAACCTTCAAGTGTGAGTTGAGGATTAGATGGGCAGTGCAGGGAAAAAAGCTGCTCAGGCAGGTTTATGTTTTGGTTAGGTGCAAGTACTAAAAGGAAAGTCCTTAGTAACAGAAAGAGATTCTTCTGTTTTGCTTTTTTACAGAGACTTGCATTAGAAATGGAATTGGTGCTTTGCCATATAAACAAATTCTAATGCAACTTCCCTGAAACAGGAGGCTCAACAACAACAGGAAGACAGGCTGGATGTTTTGTAGCAACATTCTAGCATTTTCCAGCTTGTGACCCATGACTTGTTTACTTAATTGTTGGCAGAATTTTATTTTGGGAGGATTTGGAGATTATTTGGTTTTTTGTATCAGCTGACAAATATTTTGAATTGCAGAAATTTGGTAAGGGTTTCATGACAAGATTCTGAATAGAAGAGCTAGTATAGAGTTATTTGAAGTTCTACAAAAGGAATAAATGCAAATATTGGGAACATTTTTCTCCCAGCAATAAGTTTTGTGTTGGACAGAATACAGTTCTTTAAGATATTTGAGGATCCGCCAAATTATATTTGTTTTCTGCTGTGCCACCTGAAACAGATTGCCTACTTCAGAGACAGCTAAAACTTGGACCATATGTTGTACAAGTGAAGACTGATTATAGCAATACTTATAATACCCTGATGCTACAGGTAGTCCTCGATTTACAACAATTCATAATGATCATTCAAAATTACAACAGCATTAAAAAGTGACTTGTGGCCATTTTTCACTCTTACAACCGTTGCAACATCCCATGGTCACGTGATCAAAATTCAGATGATTGGCAACTGGTTCACATTTATTACCATTGCCATGTCCTGGGGGTTCATGTGATCCCTTTTTGCTACTTTCTGACAAGCAAAGTCAATGGAGAAGCCTGATTCACTTAACAACCATGTTACTGATTTAACAACTGCAGCAATTCACTTAACAACTGTGGCAAGAAAGATTATAAAACGGGGCAAAATTCATCTCACTTAGCAACAGAAGTTTGGGGCTCAGTTGTGGTTGTAAGTTGAGGACAACCTCTATAATGCAATATTTAGACATGATAGGTCATGCAGCATACAAAGCCCTAACCTAAACAACCATTATTTGCTGAAAAAACTACAAATGTCTGTACTTGCCTTGCATGCAAAACCATGAGTCATAATTTTCCAAAGTTCACTTGACCAGGTTTGTGCAACATGTAGGCCTCAAAATATCAAGTTTGGTTTCACAGTTTGAATGAGATGTAACATTCAAAATTAGTGCACTGCCATAGTGTGAGTATTCTAGCTTCCTGGAATGAAAACCATTCTCATTGACTTCTAAGGGGAGGAAGGACCATCAAATTGCTGCTATATGTTGCACAATTCTTTTTCGGATTTTGTGATTTCACCCCAGAAAGGAATAGGCCTACATTTCTTTCTATCCTTAGTCACATCAAGAGTGAATGTAGCAATATTTTCTTTTATGCCTAATTATTCTTTATTTTCTGGTTGCACAAATGGTTAGCTGATACATTGGTAAGATGGGCAGGATATAAATTAAATCTATAGCAAATTGCATTTTCATCTTAGCTATGTTTTTCCCATTGGGTTGTATCCAACAGTGTTTTTTGAAGCTTGCTGGCAGTCCAAATTTCTATACTGAATCTGAACCAGGGGAAGAGAGGACAGAGCCTCTACAACCTAGCTTTTAGGATGCAGATTTAAAGCATCGGACCTTCTGCCAGTTGAAAATACGGTGGGAGATCTTTCATTATGAACTCTTACAGTGATGTAGAATTGGAATTGGACACTTGCATGAATTCACAGCCTTCAGTGTTTTTGTGGAGTATAACATTAGATAAACAGACATAGATTTATTTATTCTGTGCTGAAAACCTGGCAATTTTCTCATCCATATAGGTATGGCAGTGCTTGCACAGAGCTGGATTTGAGTGCACATAGCGTTTGTCAGGAATATATCAAATCAGATAAGATATATGTTTCCTCAGAACCAACTGCCAGTCTAGAGGGCAACTGCAAAAGCCCAGGAAAAAAACATGACTGCTTTACTCATGTTTCAAATTTGGATCTCATTATAGGACTAATTTTGTCAACATTGCAACTGTGTAAATTATGAATCTCTCTCTTCCAGGTAGCATCTTAAGCATCCATTATCAAAAATGAGGTGCTCTGTGGTAATTCTCGGCCTGTTTGTGGTCCTTACAAGTGCCCGTAATGTTCCATACTTCCCTCCTCTCTCTCCTGACTTAGTGAACTATATCAATAAACTCAATACCACATGGAAGGTGAGTAAATTTTGGGGTAAGGTCCAACTTTGCAGGGTGGTGGGAATTGGTAGTTGGCTGTCTTCCAAGATACAGCTTGGCAAACTTAATATTAATGAACTGATTTCACTTAGACCATTTAACTTAGTTTGTTGATCTGGCATGAAGTCGATAAGTTGTGTCATTTTCCTTTTTGGTGATTGTATTAACTCCCCACGCCTCACCATCCTACAGTCATAGAAGAAAGATCCTAGTTGAGCTGGTACAATACAGATGCTTGTTGAGTTGCTATTCTGTGGTCAACTTCTTGGAACAATATCTCTTGGCCTTGAAGCTTCTATTATGTTTCTATTATGGCCAATAGCCTTTTGTTAGCGAATACTGAGCAAGATTTTTAAACTGCCAGGTGACTGGCAAATATTATATTTCCCCCCCTACCCCAAAGTGCCAACTGGCAGGGGACTAGAAGATGGGCCTCACAATAGCCCTGATCTGTGGAATCTTCTCCCCTCAGAGATTAGAAGGGCCCCAACTCTGCTGGCCTTTCATAAGACTTTAAAATGGGTACCTAACCTTTGTAGACTTCAACTCCCAAAACTGCATGGGCAGCCATGTCCACAAGTCTTAAAGCTGCCAAGGTGTGAATATCCCTGTTTTAAAAACTTGTCTATGTACCTGACCTTAGGGCTCTGAATATATTAAGGGCCCCTTTTTTTTGGTTTTACTGTTAATTATCTCAGTTACTATGTATCTATTTATTTGGAATGTATTTGTTTAAATGTTTTTTATTATTTTTGTAGTTTTAGAATTGTAAACTTCCCAGAATCATTGGTTATGGCCAGTTATAGAAATTGAATTAATGAATGATTAAATAACAGATTATTCTGAAATTAAGGCAAGTCCCAAGTTAATTAACAGAAAAAATCTAAAGCAATATTTAATAAATATTTGATTTAATTTTAATATTTGGAGCCAGTTTGGTCTAGCAGGTAAGACATCAGACTAGAAACCAGGAAACTGAGTTCTAATCTCATCTTTCTTAGACATGAAAGCTGGGTTGGTGACTTTGGGCCAGTCACTCAGCCCAGCTCTCCTCACAGATGGTTGGCATGAGAAAAATAGGGCATATTAATGTTCACTGTCTTGTGTTATTTATTAAAAGGAAATCAATCATTAGCAGGGGCAGGGAGAGATCTAGTATTTCGTCCAAATAAAGGCAGTTACTTCCTTTTACTGAAGACTGCATTTATCAGACATACATATTTTATCTCTGCCTGTGATAAAGAAAGAGTGTATACAGATTGTGGAACCATGAGTTCATTTTTACGCATGTTTAGTTATTTTTTTAATTAGTAAAAGGTAGTTGTGCTTGGGGTAAAAGATCTAGATTATATTGTGTTTTATTGTTATTTTTACTTTTTTTTAAAGGCTGGACACAACTTTGGCAATGCTGACATGAGTTATGTGAAAAAGTTGTGTGGCACCTTCTTGCATGGCCCCAAACTGCCCGAGAGGTGGGATATTTATGTGCTCTGCTTCTAATCCTGCTGCATATGTGTTCTTGGACTCTGCAAATAATGACTATCTTGCCTTCTGCTCTCAGGAATGGTTTCCTGGTTACAGTTGTATTAAAGTTGCTACTGGACATGAAAGAAAGAGCTTAATTTAATGATAGAACAATAGCTTAATAGCTTGTTGAGACTGGGAGACACCAGTCCTGAAATTCTGAACTGTTGTTACTACTTTTATATTTAAATATTGAGGTAGGTGAAGACCAGTTTGGTGTAGTGGTTGAAGCATCACACTAGAAACTAGGAGACCTTGAGTTCTATTCCTGCCTTGGGCACAAAGCTAGTGGATGACCTTGTGTCAGTTACTCTCGGCACTAGAAAGGAGGCAATGGCAAATCAGTTCTTCCCAAGAAAATCCAGGCAGTCTTCAAGTATCAGATATGATTGAACAGGGAGAAAAAATTGAGCTAGATAGATCCAGCAGTGTGGGATAATATTAGAAAGCTTTCCTATGTTTTTATTACTTAAAAATAAAAAAGCCAGGAAGCGAATGTCTCACATTTTAAAAAAAGTACTTGGCATTTATATATATACAGGCATCATTTTCAAAATTTGAATTCTATAACGATTTGTTGATAGTCTTGTTTCTTAGTGGAATGAATCAATCTGGACAGATGTGGTTCCAGATCAAAATATTAATACATTCACAAGGGCTAAATGTTGAGGTTATTAAATAGATGTCATTTATATATAGTGTGAACTCTGAATCATATTCATGCTAGTATTTTGTCAACATGCTGGAAGCAAAATTGACACTCTGACATAAGAGATTAAATCCAAGGACTTTGACGAACAAAGACATTACTTAATTAGAGCATTGTTCTGTTCTTTTTCACTCAACTTTTTCCCTGTTGTTTGAAAGGTTTGAATTTGCTGGTGATTTGGTCTTGCCACAAAACTTTGACTCAAGGCAACAATGGTCAAACTGCCCAACCATTAGGGAAATCAGAGACCAAGGCTCTTGTGGTTCCTGCTGGGTAAGTAGAGAAGTGGTATACCCATAGTACCTTTGCCATAGGCCAGAATTCAGCAGATCTGGTAGTTCATATCCAGTTCTCCATCTTTAATAGAAGCTTCCAATTCCTGAAAAATGCACATTGGCTAAATTCATGCATAGCACTAATTTATGCATGGCATGAACTGGTTCATTTTGACTTATGTGTGAACTCAGTGATTGTGGTGGCATGCTCAGTAAATTACAAAGGAGAAACCATCTCTTAAGTTAACACAATCAGTGTATATATAACTCTATTTGTGTTGAAACCACTGATCCATTATGAAGCATCAGTGTAGATATGCCCAAAGAAAGTCCAGAAGAGCTTTTAATGAGAAAGAGGGAATGATGTAGTAGACTGGTAGTGATAGTGGAGGCAGCGGCAGCAACAATAATTTTGCTTGGTGGTGGTTGGATGGGGTTAGGACAGTCTACAGGTCTCAACAGTGCCACTGACAGAACTTTTGGATTGTCTTTTGTAGGCTTTCGGTGCAGTTGAAGCCATGTCAGATCGGGTTTGTATCCATACTAATGGCAAAGTGAATGTGGAAATTTCTGCTGAAGATCTGCTCTCTTGCTGCGGGATTGAATGTGGGATGGGGTAAGTTACTTCCTACCTTGTCACTTGTCTTTTCTGTGAACAGCTTTTTTTTCCTGCTAGAAAGGCTCACATATTCAGGAATGACACCAGAAAATACAGCGGGAACATTCACAGTATGTTGAGATCAGAAGTCTTTTTGTTCTGGAAGATTGATTTCTAGAAAGCCCTCAGACCACTCCAGAATGGCTGGAACAGTGTGGTCTGAAATTAAAAAGAGATGTCTAATGTTTTTCAGATCGTTCTATTCCCAACACAGTTTGTGTTCTACATCATAGTAGCCAACAAGAAGACTACATTAATCAGGAATCAAGCTCAACTTGAAAGTTCTTTTTTTGAGGCTGCATGATACTATGAGCTCCAAGATCACCATAAACACTTGTACTTGGTGCCTGTCAAATTTCTTCCCTATTTCCTTTTTTAAAAATCCTTTAATTATAAACATTGCAGACAGCTGTTTTGTCTTCTAGTTTTAGCTTTAGCATTATTTTTATTTTAAGAATGCTTCCAGGCCCTATAGAAAATGTAAAAAGCGATGCCTGCTATACAGTGCTTTATGGAAAAATCATCGTAGAACAAAAAGAGCTGGCAACTAGAGATGAGAGCAGCCTATTTACTTCATGGTAAATGGGTGTTTTGTGAATGTGCCATGTCATTTCATTGGAGCCACTTTTTAAATTGCAAGTGTGATCCCAAAATTTTGAACAAGTTGCCTTTTCCATCTCTAAGTATCTCTTTGGGTATCACATGGATAATCATCACTCCAAAGACTCTTCAGTCTTTCAGACTGTAACCCGCAGTTAAAATGTATTTTCCCTAAAGAGTTCTTTTTGTGATAGTTGTACATCATTTCCTTGCAGCTGTAATGGAGGTTATCCTACAGGAGCATGGAGATACTGGACTGAAAAAGGCTTGGTGTCTGGTGGGCTTTACGACTCACATGTTGGTGAGTTTTCTTTTAAGCAAGATACCTGTGTCCAGCACTGAATGGTGAAAGTCCCTCTTGAGTGTCCATGACTTCACCTTGCAATCAGGTTGCTCACTTGGATTCCATTATTATTTCTTTCTATGCACAGCTTGGGTTTATTCAGAAGATCTTCACTAGAATAATGAGAAAGGGGAGCTTGATGACAGATGGAAGAATTGGAAGTAGCAGGCAGGCAACTTGGGGGTTGGGGTGGGAATCCCTGTGAAATACAGGAAGCCTCGAATTGTGACCTTCAAAGTTACAACAGAGCCCTCTTTAGCTAGTTATGACCAGATTGTAAAGTCCTGACATTCTCTTCCCTTCCTCACGTGATATTTTGGGCATTCAGCTGTCAGCCCCCATTTACAGCTGTTTGCAGCACCTCATGGTGATGTGACTGTGATTTATGACAGTTTTGCCATGACGTGGCATTTATTTCTGGTTTCCAGCAAACCCAGCCCAGAATGAACAAACACTTTACAACTGTTACATTTGTTTTACGAGTACCACAAACAGGTCATAAAATTGGATGGCTGTCATGACTTAGAACTGTAGTTGACAGGCTCAGTTAGTCATAAGTTGAGGACTACCTGCATATTAGTTCACATTTTGGACTGAATGCCGAGAGCCTGGTTCAAATTCCCAATCAACCATGATGCTGACAGGTGACTTTGGGCAGGTCACCAGTTCTTGCAATATATTTGCTCTCAAAAGGTTACTATGAAGATAAATGGGATATAGAAATGGAGCTTTCAGGGGGAAAGCAAGATGAGCTGTTATCTGAATTAGTGGTTTATAATATACAACTGCAGGGAACTACAGAATGAAATATTTTTGCATGTAAGTGAAATTCTGTAGCTTAGCATGATTTATTTTGATTTGAGCTTAGACTAGGGAATTAAAAGATTCTTTTCAAATGGCTTTTTATTCTGTATTGTAACCAATAGGCTGTAGACCATATTCTATTCCACCCTGTGAGCATCACGTCAATGGGACTCGACCCCCATGCACTGGAGAAGGTGGTGACACCCCTGAATGCATCAAAACATGTGAAGCTGGTTATTCTCCTTCATACAAGAAAGACAAACATTATGGTAATGCATATATATTAAACCACATATTCTGCTTTATAAGAAACCCACAGGCTTTAATTTCAAAATATTGAAATGATAAAAATGTAATATTCTGGTTTAGATATAATAGATTTTCAAATGCAGTATAAGATTAGAAATGTAAATTAAAAATTAGCAATGCAAACAATACAATCAGGATGAAATGCTGTTATTATGGTTGGTTACACAGGTAGCCACATATTACTTATAAGAGGAAACAAATTAAATTATCTTCTGTTGTGGGCAGAAGAGACATAGCTTTGCATGTAGCCTTGTATCCGGATATTCTGGATAAAGTCTGCAGCCAGGATGTTAGACCCCTTTCCAAGCCAAGTGTTACATTTGACCTTTCAATAGCACAAGTAGGCAGGGGTAAAATTATTTGTCCTTTTGTACACTTAGAAAATAAAATTATTTGTACTTATTTTTATTTTATGTAACTCCCTAGGTACTTAGTAATTTCCCCTTCTGTCACATTGTTACAATTCTGTAACTTTTTGAAGATCTCTGCCCAGGAATGTACTCAAGGCTTTGATGGATGGGTATTAGAGTAAAAGCTATGAAGCCATGATTGCGGGCTGTATCTGTTTATAACTAGTTAAAGTTTTATAACTGAGTTAAAGATTCCCCATTAACACCTAGGATGGTGTAGCAGAGAATGGGCAGTGTCAGAGGTGGTATTCTACCGGTTCGGCCTCGTTTGGCCGAACTGGTAGTTTCAAGGATCATCTGTGAGCGAACCGGTTCACTCCAATGATCAACTGCAGGGCCCAGCTCTATACTGACCTTCATTTCCTGGTTTTGAAGCTCAGCTGGTTCACGCGGCACAGCGGATTGCTGCACACCAGCTGTTTAACAACAGAGTGCAGGATTGCGGGAGAAGTTCAGTAGGAAATCCTTGGTGCGTGCGCGAAGTGCGTGTTTGGCACGTGCACATGTTTGGCACATGCACAAAACATACATGCGCGCGCAAAGCATACCCACCAAGCCACGCCCATCAAACAGGTAGTAAAAAAAATTGAATCCCACCACTGGCTGGCATATAAAGTTAATAAATTGCAAATCAATACTTCTACAAAAATCACCTGTAGCATAAAAAGTACAATGTGATGTACAGGCTGGATTCATATATGGCACTGCCAAAATTTGTAAAGCAGCGCTTCTTAAATGGAAGTTGACTTTTAGACAACCTGGATCACCTCACATAATATACCAAATTAAATTAGATAGATTATATTCTTGTTATAAAGTAATGATTATTTTAAACCTGTTCTCTGATTCATTGAATGATGGTTAGCATCAAATTTGAATTTTGTAGTAACATGTTTGTAATCTTTGTAATGATTAATTAATAAATAATGCATGTTAGAATACACAGCGCATGCATTGCTTCTCAGTTAAGGTTAGGAGTAACAGAGGATCATAGTAATAATAATGTGGTGAAAACTGGCCATGTTTTGAAATAAGCAATTCGAATGCTTTCTAACTTAGAGATCACTTTCCCCTTTTCTCTGGCTAGGAATGACTTCTTATAGTGTCCCTGGCAATGAGAAAGAAATAATGGCTGAGATATACAAAAATGGACCAGTGGAGGGAGCCTTTACCGTTTATTCTGACTTCCTCATGTACAAATCAGGTAAGTATTTTTTCCTGTAACTTCTTAAAGGAGACGTATTTTTTTAAAAGAGCCATTTTCATTATTTAAAACTCTTGAATAGCTAAGTGAATTACATCTGTGTGATTTTGCTTTAATTCCCGTTATAATGGTTTTGGTTTAATCTTCTGATAGAACTGGCATCGCTTCTGGTTACATATGATATTCGAAAACTTTCAGGCATAAAACTTTGCTTGAATTTAGCTTATGTTAGCAAGACTTAAAGCTTCAAAATAATCTTGAGATCTCAAGTATTCCCGAAGTTGACATTCAGAATGGGATTTGGGAAAACACTCCCGCCCCGATTTTTTTTTTTTTTTGCATAATGGAAATATCAATGAAGGACCATACAGATTGTCCTCAATTTAAAACCATAATTGGGACTGGAAATTTTGTTGTTATGTGAGGAAGTCAATTGTACCCAAATTTATGACTATTTGTACAGCTATTATTAAGCAAATCACCACAAGTGAATCATGCAATTGTTAAATCTGGCTTCCTCTTTTGACTTTGCTTGTCAGAAGCCAACTGAGGAGGTTGCAACTGGCAATCACGTGACCCCCTGCAACTGTTGTAAATGCATGCCAGTTTCAAAGTGCCCAAATTCAAAGAATTTTCATCATGCGACTGCAGGGTTGCTGCAGCTGGCCATAGGTGCAAGGACCAGTCACAAGTTACTTTTGATGCGAGGCCTATCAAGGCAAAGTAGAGGTAGTCTTCAACTTACAACAGTTCATTTAGTGACTATTTAAAGCAGGGGTCTCCAAACTTGACAACTTTTAAGACTTGTGGACTTCAATTCCCAGAATTCTCCAGCCAGCATAGCTGGCTGGGGAATTCTGAAAGTTGAAGTTCACAAGTCTTAAAAGTTGCCAAGTTTGGAGACCCCTGCTTTAAAGTTAGAAAGGCATTGAAAAAAGTGTCTTATGGCTATTTTTTGCACTTAACGATAGTTGCAACATCCCCATAGTCATGTAATCAACATTCACTCTCTTGGCAATTGACTCATATTTCTGATGATTGCAGTATCCTGGAATCCTGTGATCTCCTTTTGCAACCTCAAAATCACTTAATAACCACGTTATTAATCTAACAACTGAAATGATTCACTTAACTGTGGTGAGAAAGGTGGTAAAATGGGGCAAAATTCACTTAACAAATGTTTCACTTACCAACAGAATTTTTTGCTCAGTTGTGGTTGTAAGTTGAGGATTATCTGTAGACAGTTTCTGTGAGTCTAACTCTGTTCCTCAATACATCCCCATTGCATTTGACTTCTTAGCAGCTGCATGAGTCCTGTTAACTCATGTTCAGGATATTCCTATGACTGTGTAAAAGCTAGGAATATTAAATGAAATGAAGACCAATTATTTTGAATGCAGAACAAATTTAACAATTCCTGGATTTTTCAAGCTTAAATTGGCTCCATTTTGAAGCAGCCCATTCTGCGCCTGAAATATATATTTTTGAGCTGCACCTCACCGGGTGCCAGAATCGGAAATGTAAAAGTTGGGATTCAAAAAAGTTGCCATGCAAGAGACTCTCACAAGCCATGATATCTATGGTTTCTTCACAAGTTTAAATTCCAAACAGAATGTTAACTGAATCTTAGCAGGAAAGTCACAGGGTTTATATTTGGGAATAGAGTAACAGTTTTTCCCTTGCAGGTGTCTATCAGCATGTCTCTGGTGAACCTGTTGGTGGCCATGCAATCCGAATTCTTGGCTGGGGTGTTGACAATGGCACACCGTACTGGTTGATAGCTAATTCCTGGAATACAGACTGGGGTGAAAATGGTAGGTGATCTCCCTTCCTTTGGTGGGTCAATTATCTTTCAGGGATGCCATTGCTGTAGAACTCCCAGGAGCTGTGCTTGAGCAACATCTGGAGATCTGACATGTTCCTTTTCAGTGGACATGTTGACATCATGTTCTTTATCATGCATATCAGTACAGATAATCCTTGTGTTACGAATGTAATAGAGCCTGCCAATTAAATTCATAACTCGAGGATTTGTTTATTGGGTCACATTAAATGAACGCGATCCCTCCCTACTTTCCCCAATGCATTTGTTAACTGAATGCAGTTTGTTTGGTAAGGTATCTCAGGATGGGGAAGACTATTGGGGGTGGGGTTAGTGCTGGAATAGGCCACCTGCTTCTAACCACCCAAGGCCTCCCTCCACCCACTGAGATATTGCATGCTCCGTTTACAATCCTTTGGGATTCCCATAGGTGCTCCCCCTCATCCTGCCCCACTGCGTCTCCACAGGCACTGGCCCTGCTTTGCCCAATTACACTTGTTCCTCCCCACCCCGTTTCCGATTTCTCACTTACCGTTCAAAAATCTCCAGTGTTCCAGAACAGGTGGCAGAAAAGAGGCATTTTACTCAGATGCTGGGGAAGCTGTAAGAATGCAAGATCCAAGGAAAACAGCTTCGCGAGCATGGGTAAAAAGATGGATGCTTTTCTGGCATGAGGCCAGCATCCCTGCAGACCTTGTTTAGTCCCAGTCTGGCCGGCAGTGTGGGCACCTTGTGCTTGCTGCTGGGGAGCTGGTTTGAATGAGCAGCTTCAAGAATTGGAGCATGAAGGCAGAGGTGGCCACCAATCAACCTGCAGCTTGTTTCCTTTGTCTCATCACCCAATGAAATCCACCAACTGCAAGCCCAATGAGACAAAGGAAAGAAGCTCTACATTGATTGGCTGCCGCCTCTGCCTTCATGCTCTAGTCCCCGAAACCGCTCATTTTCTGCCAAGTGGGCCAGCCTGTTTGGGAACTTTGGAAATCTTCAAAAAGCGAGCGATTGTAAAGAGGGCGGGGAGGAGCAGCAGGTGTAATCCAGAGGGCTAGCAAAGCAGGGCCAGTTCCTAGGGAGACCCAGCGAGGCAGGATGTGGGGGGTGGGAATAGATAGAGGGCACGTTGCGGCGCCCCTCAGTCTGTCATAAGGGCGAACCACCACTGTTGTGCTGCAACATATGTAACTTTGGGACCAGATCGTAAGTACTATATGGCAAGGGGACAAGCTGATTGGGCTGGGTTTGTTTTGTTTTATTTAGTTTTGAGAAATTTTTGCAAGGTTTTTCTCTCAATATCTTCTAGGCTATTTCCGAATCCTCCGTGGGCAAGATCACTGTGGAATTGAGTCTGAGGTTGTAGCTGGAATCCCTCGCACAAGCCAGTATTGGAAGCAGCTGTGATAATCCTGCCAGCTGAATGGCACATGATCATATACTTATGAAGATAGACATGATGGCAATCCTTTGCTCTAAGACATTTTAGCTGTCAGGATTTTTTTAAAAGCCTTTAACATTTTTTTTAAAGAATACAATACAGATGTCACTAGGAGGCTGTCTTTTTGTCTGAAGCATGAGGCTTTCTAATTTTTATTCAACAATTTTTCATGACTGGCAAGACAGAATGGTAAGCACGTTGAGATGAAACTGGCTGTATTAAATGAAATACCTCTAAAGGAATCAAAGTACATTTCACTAACAGAAGAGCATGATTAGAAACAACCTTAACCCCTGGTTAAGATGTTGAGGATGCTGTTTGCAGTGGTATTTAATTTTACCTTCTGCATATTGATGCACCACCCATCAGATAAGAGTGTAGGATCATGGAATCTCAGGGTTGGATTGTTTTGAGTTTAATCCTTAGTAAACATTGTGCAAAGTGGTAAAGAGGATTCTCCCCCCCCCCCTTTCTTTCTCATACAAACACTCACTTTCAGGAAAAAGTAAATAGAAAGGCTAAAATATTTACTGCTTATTTACTGTATGGATGGTGAGGTTTATGCCTAAATTTCAAAGAAACTTTAAGAGGATGCCCTCATGGTAGCAGTCCTAATTCTTCTCTTCATAAATTCTCAATGTCAATATATGCTTCAATAGTGAGAAGATAACTGACCAAATAGTCAAAATAGACAAAACGTCTGAATCTGTTGTAACTTTATGCATTGAACTTTAGTTCCTTGATAAATTTGGCCTCGGTGGGATTATAGGATCATGAAATTTCAAGTTAAATTTAAATTAAATGGAATTTCAAATAGTTGCAGAAGCAGAAACGCACACGTACACATAAAGAGGGAACTTTTATGTGTACCTGTCATTTAAGTTTTCTTCCTGAAACTGGGCAATTGCACTAACTGGTCCTGCACATATGCATGATTTATTTCATTTTTTATTATTGTAAATGATAAATGATGAGGAAACATAAGCAGCAAGCATAAACCTAAAATTGAATCTGACCCATAGGCTTTATGTGATTGGTTTCTGGCTTCAAATTCAGTTATTGTTAACTGCAGCAGAATATTTTATAAACTTAAAAGACTTACAACCAGAATTTCATCAGTGTACTTCCAATTCTTATCTCCAGTAAAGTTTTCTACAATGTATGTGTTCATTCTTCCCCCTGGTGGACAGAAAAGATTGTATTTCTGGTCTCTTTTGTGGGGGTGTGGAGGGGGAACACATTTCAGTTCGGAAAATAGACCCAGTGCATGTTGTGCCATACCTAACTGATAAAACTTTAACAGGTGACTGTTTTACACACCAATACATTTTACTGATCCTTGAGGTTCTGTATTTAAAGTCATGAGAATATGGATTGCTGTGATCAAACGTAATGGTCTTGATACAAAGCCCATATCTATATGTAGATATATATAGGATAGAGGATGGATGGTGCGTGTGTTTGTTTGGATCTTGTGCTACAGTATCTTCACTACGTACTTGAAAGTTTGATGATTTGAAATAATAATGGCTTTATGCGCATGTTTACAAGGTTCTAATTTTGAATTCCATAGAGCCTGCAGATCCTTCCTCCCCAACCTCTAGCTCCTCTGCAATTCTGATTTCTTGACTGGGATTAGAATAATTTATATTAGTTTTTGATTTAATTTACATGCCTTAAATTGCTCTTAGGTACTTAGGTACCTACACCTAGAAATTACAATTACCTATATGTGATGTCATGGTTCTTCTTGACCATGAAAGTTCCTAGCAGCCTAGAACCCTTCTCCAAAACCCACTATGGCTCATGACTCGTCCCCTTAGGGCAGAACAAGGTTTTGCCTCCCATACTCTATTGTTTAAATATGCTTTTCTGTAGTTCACTGCTATGCTTCAAAGGGTATAAAAATAGGTAGACTAAAATATACACTATTAAGTTTTTATTATATGCAGACTTAACCATGGTGCCTTTGTTGAAAGTAAATCATGAGCTACCTAGTTAAGAATTAACTGGCTTTTAGGTATCAACTGCTGAAAGCCACTATAATGAGCCTTCTAACCTGTACTTGTAAATCAAGAAATTTCTGTGTCCCCTTTATAGAATTAGGACCCAGGTTGCAGAGAAAACAAGTACTCCATGCTATTGCCACAGCAGATGGGTGTTCCTCAAAATGCTAAGTAGGGTTGATCTTGGTTGGCTCTTAGGTGAGATCATCTGGAAATACTGGCGCTTTAGATTACGAAGTCAACCATTTTAGGAGAAGTCAGTAGTAAACCAAGAAAACAAATGCACATGTTCCAGTGACACTAGGAGTAGAGCTCAATTTGGAGTCTATTATCAGGACTTGTGAAAACTCCACATCCGGCCTCATAACTATACCTTACTTCTGTGGACATATGCTTTTCTAGATTGATTTCTTCATTTTTGAGATTTAACCTCATGAATCAAATTCTAAAGCTTTTGAACAGATACTTTGTAAAGCACTCTCCTTGAGCTTCTTTGGGACGGTGCATGGAGACAACAGAACAGGATTACAGGCCACGTGCTTGGGCAGATACCTGGGATGAATCTGCAAAGGGAAGCTGCTATGTGAAGATATTGTCCGCACCTTCTCACAGCCCTACTTTGCATGCTATCCCAAACTAGAACTTCTCCAAGTCTACAGAAGATTTTAAAAGTATTCTGATTCTCAGTGCTGATCTCTACTTCAGGAGTGGGCAGCTTTACTGTAGAAGAGCCCACAGTTTTGCCCTACCTCACCGATTTATATAACTTTCCTCTCTTGGCTCCCAAAATTCCTTGCATATTACAATATAGAAACCTTTTACAAGAGGCACAATAACGTTTATGGAAAAGAAAAAATAACAAAGGCAAATATCTATCTCCAAACTTAATGTTAATGACGAATTCCTAAATTAGTGCAACTTAAGACATAGTACAGGCTTTGGAAGTTTTTTTGAACAGAAAATGCAGTGCTCAAATTACAGCAAGAGGAGTGGTTTTATTACCACATTTTTAGTGTCAAAATTCACAAACACTTTGAAACATCAAGAGTTAAAAAAACACTCTACATCAAAAACAAATGCAGAGCAAACAGCAGAAAAGAAAACACTTGGTAAGACTCAAACAAATTTGCTGTAGCTAGTTTAGCTGGGAAAAAAGCAAATGTCTCCATGGGAAACTGTTAAGAGGCTTCAAAACCAGCAGCAGATGCTTTTAACTGAAGGCTTCCAGTTCAGTCAGCTTGCAGCAAAACATTCGCAGTCCTGTTCCTTACATTCCTGGGACTCCAAAAAGTTCTCCCATTTCAAAATATTCCCCTTCCAAACGCAGCGCAAGAGAGCTCCACTCTCAGTTCTCACCAGTGTGCACATACTCCTCTGCTGCTTTTGAGACAGTGTTCAGATACTGCCAGCTCAAGGCAGCTAAAATCATAATGCAGGAAAAATAGAGGGGTGAATAATGGGTCCGGGAGACCAGGGTACCACTGGGTAAGCTCATGGATTGGACAGTGTTGATGATCTGTTGAGTTTTGGCGGAGGAAGGGTCTGTGCTTGGGACCTTCTGGCAGATCTAGTGAGAAAGAGAAATCATTTAAGATACCATAACTAAAGAAAGAAAATAGAAATCACGGATAATCAGCAAGTTAAAAGTATTGAACAATACATCACAGGTTAATGAAACAATTCCATTTCACTTTTCTAGTAGAAACACATTTATGGATTGTTTGACACTGCCAGTTGATGCCATCTCACAATCTTAATTTGCAATACAATATTAAATCTGGGCTTTTTAGATCATCATTAGAGCCCCATTTTGTGTTTCCATAGGACGAGTTTGGCATATCTGTAATTTTGCTAAAGAAAAGGAAAGGAACTTGCACTGCTAGATAAAGAACAGTTGTTAAACAAGTCTGTACACAGGGCTATGTGAATTTGTGGTATTCTAATTTTTTTTGCCAAGCCAAAGCTTTAGCTATGTTTCTATGAAATAGTCACGCCTCTCTCACCTCCTCACAAACAATTCCCATGAGAAACCAGCAACCTTTTTCCATTCCTTTCTTTTTTCTCTTTCACTCCTTATTAGCTAGTGAAAAATATAAGGGACACTTGGAAGGACAAATAGCATGGAGGAGATTCGTGGGAGAGAGGATTTCATTATACCAATTCAGTCCTTTCTGCTCCATGACTTTTCCAAATCCCATGCGCTCTCCATGTTGGAAATAGTATATATTTTAGTTTACTTTTTTTTTTGAAGGAATTCATAGCAGCAAATATATGGAATAACCCCAACAGATGGTCCTTGCTTAATGACTACTTGTCAGCATCATTCAATCATATAATGGTGCTAAACGAATGGTGGTTCTGAGCCGTCCTCATACTTATGTTGGTGGCAGAGCCCCCTGCAGTCACATAATCAGAATTTTCAACCTTTGCCAGCTTCTTACAAGCAACGTCAGCGAGGAATCTGGCAAGAGGTCACAATAATGGTGACAACTCCTTCATAATCTGCAATGTTTTAATGACAGCAACTGTAAATGCTGAATTTTCATTTACAATCATGTTGAGTTATCTTCCCCTAGATTCAGTCTTAGCATGTTATTGAAGCAAAGCCATCTCCTGAATATCAAAGCTAGACCATCCTAGACCAAATCCAACCTCCTAAGCTTTACATCATGCTGTGCACTTTTACAGAGTTTCAAAGTAAAAAAGCAGGTGATTATCCATTCTAACTCAACCTTCCCCACTAAAAGGCATCAGGAACTGAATAACGAGGTTCTCCCAACTCACCTCTTCCATATACTGGTACATGATGGTTTTAACAGCCTGTATGTTAGTAGCATCCATCATCAATGTGACTGCTTGTCCCTTTCGAATCTTCACCACACCTTTGAAGATCTGTTGGTTGTTGTAGCAGGCTGCCAAAGTGGCTATAGCCATCACCTAGCAGGAAAGAGAAGATAAAGGGCTTATGATCAAGAGCAGGTGTTTGCATAGTTGTGCACAATCAGGCTCCAAAGAAAAAAACAGAGCTTTTCTTTTTAAAAAAGATTATTTATGAAGATTAATATGCTGATTAATGAGTTTTATAAAATAGTCTAGAAAGTTACATGTGTAAGGACAGCTACATAAATGTGATAAAACATTTTTCCCTTCTGTTCAGTTGTGTCCAATTATTGGACATTGCCTGGACAAATCCATGCAATTTTATTGGCAAAGTTTTTCAGAAGTGGTTGCCACTGCCTCCTTTATAGGGCTGAGAAAAAATGACTGGTCCAAGGTCATTCAGCTGGCTTTGTGGCTAAGGTGGGAGTAGAACTCAGTCTTCTAGCCTGATGCCTTAACCATTACAACAAACTGGCTCTCTTTATACATACATATAAACATACAGTATATACACCCAATATTCATGGCAAGAACAGTGAATGAATAATAAATAGCAAGATGTTCAACAACAACAACAGAAAGGAATGCTATGTTCCTGGACAGATTCCTTAGGGCCTAATGGACAGGGCATCATCATGAAGTACCTCAAGAGGAATGCACCTTCTTACAAGGTAACAAACCAGAACCCCATAAAAGTCTTTGTGTTTAAGGTTTTGATACCACTGTCTAAGTAAGACAAAATCAAGTGTTTTTCAGCATGTTGTAGGAGTCTAGCCACTTTATTAGCAAGTTACATGAAACAAGTGTTATACTATGCCATAAGTACAGGTAGGCCTAAAAGGTTTTATATACACCGTAACTTGTTTTTGTTAACTTAGGTTTACAAAGTTAGTCCCAGCAATAAAATAGAAAAGACTACACGTGCCATACAAAAATGTATACATAATGCATTTTTCTATCCTTTTTCATTTTGTTAGACTCAATATGACAAATGAATAACCCAATGGGTTTTTTTTGTCATACTGCTATGACAATGGGTTCCCATCACATGATGAATCTCATGTCATCCAAGTCTATTTTAAAATAGCCTGATTAGTCTTCTAATCCACTATCTACTTCATGTATGCTTAGCAGAGTAAAATTATTTACTGCCTTTTTCCAGGATATTTTCTAGCCTACAACCCTAACCTTTCTAGCAATCTCTCAACCAAAATACATTAACTAAATTCAAAGCTTTTTAAGATCAACCAAGCTAGGCTTGATCTGGAATTCTAAGAGGCATTGTTGATTTGGAACTCATTCATTTAAAAATCAGATTGGTCCCCTTTTTTATTGATGATCCAGAAGATAGTTAAGACAGATCTCCTCCAAAAGGTATTTAGTAATTAACTTTGCTATTACTCCTACTCCTAATTATTATTTTATTTACTGTGAATATTTTAACTGACTTTTTGAACTATGGTTGCTTTGTTAATCGCGAACTGCCAGGAATCCTTGATAGATTTGGCAGGATATAAATGTAATAAGTAAACAAAAGTAAAAAGACAATTCAAGTTACCTGTGGAATAGCACAGAAATTGAACACACTTTGATTCTTCAAGCGGGACAAATATGTCAAGACATCAGGAACATGATATAGGGCGTTGGTAATGAGCTCATTCATACACTGGACGGCTTTGTCAATGTTCTCCGGCTTAGCCAGATCTGACAGCTTCTTCACATACTTGCTCCAAACCTAGGAACACCAAGAGGTCAAGGTTGTTGAGGCCACTTTCGCAGAATTTCAAAATTACTGAGCACCTGAGATTTGCTGGTTTTCACAAACTAATTTTGCAGGGATTATGCTTATTGGACATGTCTGGGGTGAGATTCTACCGGTTCAGCCCGGTTCGGGTGAACTGGTATCTCCTAAGATCAGCTGTGAGGGAACCAGTTCGCTCTGACGATCAGCTGTTGTCTGTGCTTTATTTCTGGGTTTTCCAGCTCAGTTGATTCGCACAGCAGTCATCTGTTTTACACGCATGGCTTGCAGCAGAAGGTGAGTTACAAATGCTGTCTGCGCGCACAAAGCACGCACTCACCAAACCGGTTGTTACACTGGTTGAATCCCACCCCTAAACATGTCTTGTCCTGAAGGCTCTTTGAGCAAATCACTGATGCCTCCAAATAACAATGAAGATTTCCAACAATGACCCACCATTATGTAAAGTACAAATTAGATCAGAGCAACACATAACCATCCTTGTCATGTCTAATTAGCTATTCCACTCAACTAAGCTCAAAAAGCTATGCTTAATCCAAGAGCAAAGTTACTGAATCTTTTATTTACCCCCAAAAGCTTGCATGCTCTAAGTCAGGGACCCCCAATCTCTAGTCTGCAGCCTATTGGGAACCTGGCCATGCAAGTGGCGGACGAGTGCACAAAGCTTCATTTGTGCAAGCAGTGTGGGTGCATGCAGAATCATCTTTCTCCACCCCTGCCAGTTCGCGGAGCCAGAAAGGTTGGGGACCGCTGCTCTAAATCAATGTTTCACAATTTCATCAACTTTGAAATGTGTGGACTTCAACACTCCAGCTGGCTGGGGAATTCTAGAAGTTGAAATCCACACATCTTAAAGTTGTTGAGATTAGGGAACACTGTTTCAAGTTGTTATCTTCCCACAGTAACAGTGAATAATAAGTAAGCAGTCCTTTCTTTATAATTTAAAATAAGAACGCCAATTCATATTTTCCCCACTTGTTTTTGTATGCCAGACTGCTCATTATTTTTCTTCTCAACTTTGATCTTTAAAATATAGATAGTCCTCAACTTCTGACCACAATTGGGACCGGAATCTTCATCACAAAGCAGCTGTTAAACAAGATGTCCAAGTGACCACTTAGCTCAGCAACTGCAATCTTGGCTCTTCCTGTTATGGTCATTAAGTGATTCCATGGGAGTACCTCAAGGCTCTGGGAGGCTCACAGAAATTAGGCTATTGCATAGAAATTTGCTATGGGCCAGGAGGCCTTAACTGGCCACAAGGTCCATTAGTGCATGGAAACCTACCAGGGGCTTGAAGGCACAGACCTTCTCCTCACCCCACTATGTGTGGGAAATATTGTTCACTAGCTTTCTAGTTATCCCTCTCATTGATTGGACCCAGGCCTTGGGGGGGGGGGGGGGGAGAGGACTTCCAGCCATGGGGGACAGGGAGAAGCAGCCATTAAGAAGGCCAAGACTCCAGGACCAAGGCAGCTTAGCAAGCACTAGTGGCCTACGTGAAACAGCTGAGATGAGGGGGAGAAATAAGTGCGTGTGTATGGGTAGCAGCCATAATTAGTAACCAAAACTGCAGTAACAATAGTTATAAAGAGAGACAGGATATTTCCCTGCTGCAATTAGCAGTAGGGAAGCATTAGCTCTGATATCAAGAGACAAAATTCAATCTTACTCCACCAGTCTTAGGGACAATTGGAATATCTTACATGTGAATGAAATCACCTTATATGTAGATATATGCAGCCTCAAATCCACAAGCGATCCCTGGGCAAGAAAAGTTACCCACGTATTCTACATCAATTAAACAGCATAAATCAGGATGGAATCTAGTAGCTTTTGCATGCTGTACACATTCATACCAGTGAGTTAAGACCTCTTCCTCACATCATACTTTTTTCTTTTACCTCTTTGGGCCAGAATTCTCTGCCCACCAGTTGGTCCTCCAGATAGTCCCTAATGATGTTGGTTTTCTGCAGAAAGAGTCCCATGGAGTTGGCCAATTCTACGTCGTGACCGACAACAGGATCTTCTAATTCTGAGGCAGAGAAGAGCCGGGAGAGGCCAATTCCCACCAGGCCAGCAACATAGTGGCAATACTATAGGTTGGAACATTCAGAGCTTTATTAAGATGTTTTTTTAAAAATCTAGTTCAATCCATGAAGGCTGCAGCTACCAAACTTTACAATTTCCTTCTTGAATTACTTTTGCTAAAGTAATATATGTTTTGGAGTAAATTTAAGAGCCAAAAGTTCAGCCTTTAAAACCCCAGAACCTTGCCAATACAATTCGTAGGGCTGTTCATTTTAAGAGGATGTGGTCATGATATGTCACTCAAAGTTTACAACAGATCTTGGGTGATGAAAGTTCTTTATGCCAGCCTTATGGTAATGAGAGAAGTAAATCCATATCGAAGACCAATTCCAGTTCCAAGACACCTAAAATGCAGGGATCATCTCCTTTGAGCTAAAGAAACATCCCCCAACATCAGTCTGAGTACCATTTTTCCCTGGACCTATAGAAGCTATCCACTTGTATTGTTTCTCCTTAAATATTCTGTTCCCATGCATTATACATTAAAAGCCTCACTGAATAGAAGACTTTGATGGTCTCTGTATTGTAAAGTTAATGGTTATAGCTAGTATACAGGTTTGCTAGGATACTCTCCCTCCCAACTCACTCACCTTGTCCCACTCTTTGGTAGAATTCATCTTCTTTTCCAAAAACTCTGCCATACCAAGACCCATCTTGTGACAAATGTCAGCAATCACATCTTGATAGACTTTTGCCAAATTCCGGAACTCTAGGGAAATCTAAAGGCAAGAAAAGAAATGGGATAATAAAAAATGATACATGTGTCTCTTCCTGCCTCCCCCCCCCCAAAAAAAATAATAATTTCTGAATTGATAAGCTCAAAAATGCTAGCTCATTTTAGGTTCCGTGCACGTAAAGTTAAAAATATTTCAGCAGTCCTTTAATCTTGAATTTACAACAATCAAATATCATATATATTTCCTCTGAGCAATACAGGAAATATTCTTAGAAAAGAGATATTTGGGCAAGTTATTTCTATCCAGGAGGACCAAAAGCAATGCACTCAAGTTTAAAGCAGATCATACTACTTCCAAAGAAATAATGGCAACATGATTTTTCTTACTTATATAATTAGTTCTGCAAACTTAATTAGCAAGGATACATAACTATTTGAAAGCTATTCCTTAATTGTTGCTACTTCCTTTCCTCTTGAGCGCAATGCCTACAAAAGACTCCAATTATTTAAAAAGAATACTTGTTTTGGAAATTAAATCAGTGTCAGAGTTTAATTTACATTACAAATTACATTACACAGCATGTTTTTGGCAATGTGCCATGAAAGTAAGTAACTGGCAACATCAGGCTAAAAACCCATCTAGTGACCAGCCACAAATATTCAGGAAGGTCCTAAGTATAAACATGTTCTTCAACTGTTGCCTCCTAATGTTTACCAGGGATTCTGAGGCTGGCAATAACCATTAGACCAGGGGCATCAAACTCATGGCCCGCAGGCCGGAAGCATTGCACGCTGGCCACGCCCGGTTCAGCGAAGGGCAAAAAAGTCACAATACATCACGCTGACAATGCCATGACAACATGAGAGTGTCTTGTAAATTCTTATGCATAATTCTTTTGCAGATTTTTAAAATCATTTTTCAGGCATCATAGTAATGATAACACAGAAATATACAGACATGTTTTGGGAAAAACCTTAAGTTTAATTTGTATTGTGCCTATCCAATGTATTTTGTTGTTTTCTACCAAAATTTAGCTTGAAATGAAAAGGAAGCACTTGTAATTCGCCATAAAATTTCTCAGCAGAATCCTAAACAATCCTGATAGCCACTAAAAACTACCTGGGAGGCCACTTACTACTAATTATCAACTCTGCTCCACATTACACATCCTCAATGCATGTGAGCTCAAAGAAAAAACTTACTGAATCTAGATACTCAAGTTATGTATGTTAAGTAAGGGTTGCACCAGTTTCACCAAGTATGTGATGGAAGGATTGCACCAGTTGCAATCCTTCAGGTAAGTGCACCAGTTTCTCACACATCTAATATAGTACCATGAAAAGCAAATGTATATATAAAAGCAACTGGACAGTCCTGATTTCATTTTTTTTGAAATGGTACCTCTAAAGTTCCAGGACAGGGAACTTTCACACTTCCAAACAGATGCTAATATATCTGATTTTAAGAGACTGATCTCTCTCGCACTTACTGAAGTCAGGGGAAAAGAGCCTTAGAGCAGGGATATTTTAACTGCATAAATGCATGAGAGGCACCACTCACAGTTGGAAAGTCTTCCAGCACCTGTCTGTCCTTCTCTCTGCTGTCCATAAATTTCCAGTCTGGCTGATATAAGTAGGAGTGAAAATTGTGTAACATGGGGACCTTAGCTTCAAGACTGATAGTCATGTCATCTTCCACAGTATCCAGAGCTCGGAGAACCAAATAGAAGATGCACACTGCATGGCTACAGAGAAAAGGAAAAGGATTGTTTGTGATTTAGATGCCAGAGGAAAGAGAAAAATAATTTGTTCTGTCCAACATTAATCAGTATAAAACTCCATGTCTCATTTGTTCATAGAAAAAAGCACAACATACCTGTACGGAATGAACAGCATCATTTCCCACTTAAGTCTGATGCAATTCAAAACAACTGCATTCTGTTTAAAGCCATATATTGAGCATTTAACCTGAAGCAACAGAACAGTTTGTGATAGCTGAATCTTATTTCTCCAGGCACCCACAAAGGATTAATAATAAGCATATGTTCTTCCAGGTCAAAGTACTAGATATGAAAGAAAACAAAGGAAACAACCTGCTAGGATTTGGCTCTGATCCTATTAACTGCCGACTTCAGCTATTGTCAACTGCTAATAGATTTTACACTAAAAGAATTGTGGTCTCTGCAATGAAACCTTTCTTTAAAGTTCCATGGATCGTATCATAAACTATAATAAATATAATGGTAGTAGACTGCATATACTCTATAATATTATAATAAAATGTGAACATCTCAGTAATAATAAACCCTGAATTTGCTTTCTGATTTTTATTTAAATATTCCCAACTTAAAAGAATTGGGAAAGGGTGGATTGTAGTCTATATTTACTACTTTTTGAGCACCAGTCGATGCAAATCATGGGATGTTCCCAAAATTCTAAAAGGCTTTTTCTTATGTGTAGGGTAAGGAAAGAGATCACAAACGGATTAATTTACCACCTCCGGTAGTGGGAAAGCTTAAAGTCAATGGATAATAATTGCAGCCAGAGCCTAACTTCAGTGGATGCATATAACGAATGTTTTTCACAAGAGCTCTACCGTCTCCTGTTGAAGCTAAACCACCACCAGTCAGCAAAAACAAGAACGGGTACAAATCAGAATAGCCTAACTTTGTAAAAAGTAGATGTGTTTCATTTTTTGCTATCAGCAAATCACAACAGATTTCTTTTTCCTCCTCCGCCGGGAATTATGAGTGATGAAGATCCTCAGTATCAGGTTGGCGAATACTGCCCAAAAGTCACTCCGTTATTCCCTTTTCCCAGCAAGGAAATAAGAATCATACACGCAACAAAAACCCTCACCGTAACTCCCCGTCCAGCGCTTGGATGACGGCGGCGAAGCTCCGACTGGTTTGGTTCAAGTACTTGTAACACACCCGGAGGCTATCGCTGAGCGAGTCCTGCAAAAGGAGCAGAGGCGGAGGCGCAGCCTGAGAGAACAGAAAGCGAGGCCGCGAGCGTTGCGGGAGACGAGGGGTACCGCCGCAGGTCCGCAACCGGCCACCGCCAGTCAGGCAGGAACTCGAGCCCCCGCCGCCGCCGCCGCCTGCACGCGGTGGGGAAAAGGCCAAGGTTCGCTTGAAAAGGGACGTGGCGGCTTTGGAGCTGCAGCTGGCCATGGAAAAGGCATACAAGGCCGGAGAGGCACACGGCTAGCGGGCCACCCCTCACAGGGCCCCTCGTGCCTGGGGGCTACGGAGCATCGAAGTACTTCCGGGACGCCCCCGAAGTTAGACACGCCCCCCCGCCCCCCCTTTCAGATTGGTAATGTTTTTCTTCTCCTCTACGGCACAGGCCCCGCCCACCCGGCAGGGTGACGTGCATGGAGCGCCCCGCCTTCCAGGCCGAAGGAACGAGTGCTGTTATGTGCACATCGGGAGGGAAGGCTCGAAGTGCGCTTTTATCCAACCTTTCTTTCGGGGCAAATCCCGCTAAATTCAAAGCGCCTCCGCGTCGGGGAAACAAACCTTACCATCTGCCGAGTTCGCATCACATATAGGCTTATTTAGTGCCATAATACTTTTTTATTGAATAAATCCAACTAGCAAGATTTTTTTTTTTTAATCCTAAAGCATGGTTTGCAAACCACATAGCCAGCCCTTATGATGAATGTTGGAATTCCACATCGTGCTAAACCATAATATGCTTTGTTCACATTACTTGGGGTGGGGTGTGAAGCTAGCCGTGGTGGGCTTTCCAATCATGAATTGAAACAAACCTATCTTAGAAGAGTTTGTGAACAGTGCCATCCAAAATGGCAAAGGACTGATCAGCACCATCCTCCTTGAAGAAATAATTGCTTGTAAAGGTGAAAATTAGGGCATGCAAGTAATAGTTTAAAAGGCTGTCCTGTGCAAGGGAATGAGTTGTTTTCTGCTGAAACTGACAACAGAATAAAATGCAATGTGTTGAAATTAAAGGATATTACCACTGACTTTGGGGGGAATTTTCAGAACACCTGATGGTTGGAATGGTCTACCTGAACTAGTGATAGTCTCTCCTCTCCCTTGATGGGAATTTTCAAATCAGGTCTGGATAGTCACCTAATGGGATAGCTCAGTACATCCCCTATACTGAAACAGAGTTGTACTGAAAAGCCTATTGCTCCCAACTCATACTCTATGATTTTATGCTAGCACCCAAACAACCACTGGGTCCCCTTATCCAAGTAGTAAAGGGATTGCCATAACATGCTTTAACAAAGCCAAGAAAATGCATTTGTACAACACATTAAGCTTGGTTAACCTTGACCTTGATTAGCTTTGCTGATCAGCAAATTGTAAATTAAGTAACTCAAAAAAATTAGTAAGAAGTGCACTGCGTGAACATGGCTCTGGAGTGAACATTTTATTGTTATCTTCCTATTTCCTTGGCCACTTTTTCCTAGCGGCAGTATAATTGCTGAATCTGAAAACAAACAAAACCACTAACTTTCCTCGAATACTGACAGAAGAGAATATTTGTAACTAAGGGTTGAATTAAGGTGCCTTTGGTGGTCTCTGAGGGTGATTGTTTTCTTGCAGATGTTTCATTCTAAAAATGATAAATGGCATACATTGTAATCCAAGAAACTATAATGTATGCTATAATTGCTTTGCAAACCTAAAGCTTGTTATTGTTTTAGTTTCCCCAATCATCTGGGGAGGAAAATTCAGTAAACAATTATCAGTCAATACTTTATCAGGATCCATCCTCTAATTTTCAATAATGTGTCATTTCCTTAGTTCTAACTAGAGAAATACATAATAGACCAATAACAGCAGCCACCACTAATAGAGATTTAATCAACTTTCATTTTAAAAAACTACATTTATTTCTTCTTCTGAATATCATCATTGGGAGCATGGATGAATTGGACAAGAAGAATTAGATCCCATTTTCTTCTACTACTTTTATTCTTGCTTCCTTTTAGCTACTTTTTAAAAGCAAAAATAAAAATTACATTGGGAACCAAGCTTCAATATCATGTAATTTTATGGAAGCAGATACACCCACACAGAGGGTAAACAAAGCTGTCTAGCATTTGTTTCCCATAAAATATGTTTTCAAAGATATTGACAAGCAAATGAACTTTTGAAAAGAACAATTCAAGAATACTAAAAGCTAGTCATATCACCTAATAAATAATGAATGCTATACATTAATTCTCCAGCTGCCTTATCCATAAAAAAAGAAACAAAAACTCTTGAGTGTTCTTGTGCCTCAGCAGAAAAAAAACTAACCAAAGGAATAAAATAAAAAGCCCAACTCACTTGATCCATTTTGGGCATTACTGTCTTGTATCCACCCATTTTAAATTTCACCAGATTGTAGATCTCCTCTGGATGACCCAGCCATCTCTTTAGCAGCTCCATTGACTTCTGCGTTGACCTGGCGAGGCAGGGACGGTGTTGCTGTTGAAGAAAGACTTTCAAGAGCAGAAGATTCCTTCTCTCCTTCTCCTGCCCCCCCTTTTCTAACTGTGCCACCTGCCTTTTGCTTCCTACCCCTCGCCCCCACTTCTAATTTCCGACGTCAATTTTTCCTCTCTCTCTCTTCATTTGGTTGCTCCTGTTTTTCTTTTCCCCCGGCTAGGGGTTTCCAGAAGCGAGGTAATTTCCCCCCGCCTCCACTACACGCCGCCTGCAATTCTATTTCACTTCTCCGACCGAGGGGAGGTTCAACCCAAAGCTATCTTCCGACCCACACCGGTTACGGTGTGTTACTTCTCTGCCAGCGTTAGTCCCCTAGCAGCAACCAATCAGCAGGCAGCACCTCCAATTCGGTAGGTTGATAGGAAGCTCGGTAGCCGCGCGGTCCTCGCACCAGGAAGACGGCAGCCAATTAAACCATTTCGGGCTGGTGTGGCGATCCGTCACTATCTCTTGGTTGGTTCAGTGCTCGGCCATAGGCGGCCTAAAATGGCAGGATTGATTTCGAAGTCGCCGGGTTTCTTAAAGGAGCCGGGCAATGTTTTTCTTTGTGCAAAGAAGGACATCAAGATATGTCGTCCTACAAATCCGGTTTGGTTAGTAATAGCAGTTATTACTCAAGGTGGTAAGATAAATCTCAAGGTTTTGCAGTCCAGATTTAGATAGTAAATGGAACAAGAATGTCCAGATGTACAAGGAGCCTTCAATATGAACTCCAGAGTTCATATTGCAAACATCAAATGGAAAATCAGATCATGCCACAAAGGACTTTTTTTTTCTGTATAGGTTTTTTTTTTGTGTGGAAAGATCTCAAAATGTGGGTGTCTACTGTCTCCTCTGACTACTGAAGAATGTAGACCTCTCTCCACTGAAGAATTTATATAATGGGCAGAAAGAAGTGGTAGAATGGAATCTGGAGCAATTAAGTGATTCAACAGTAGATTGAAATTGATTATTTGCCATCAGGTCAGTTTGGACTCATAGCAGCTGCCTAGATTTTATCTATGATGAAAGATTGATTACCGCCACATCATTTATTTAACTTATAACTGGAATATATAATGAGAAATGTTAGACTAGAAGAGTGGAAATTACAATCACTGGGAAAAATAGCAATCACCATAAATGTTCTGATGACACTTGGATGAAGGGAAAATTTAAGGAATAGATCACTAGAACATTGTAAGTATACTGAGGGAATGCAAAAACTGGCTTGCTGCTCCATATTCAAATAATTCCTGTGTCAAAAGGCAATGCCAATTCAATGGAAGTAGATGAAAAAGTTAAAATACCATCAGACTCTTATGTTTCTGGAATTAGCTAGTGGCTGAATAATGAAAAAAATTATTGAGAGTAAATTCTATAGAAATCTCAAGCCATTTGTTTTAATCAAGGCTTGTTATTCAATTATCAGTTATCATTAATTATTTACAAACATGCAATATTATGATTTAGCATAAAATAAACCCATCTACCCATCCATTCCCTTATTTGTACATTTGCTACTTGAGATCCCCAACTTGGTGTCCTCCAAATCAATTGGCCCATAATTTTCAACAAGTTTGGTGTTTGAGGATCATAGTGTTAATGAAAACAACTGAAGGAATCCAGATTTTGGCAAATGCTTTGTTTTGACACTCTTCCCATGACCAGAATGATGGGCTCACCCTCATATACAAGCAGACTCAGCCATTGATCCACTTTTTTAAAAAAGTAATTGAAATTTAATATACTTTATCACTTGGCAATTTACTGTCTATTTATTTTACAAACATTACTTAGAAGCTGTTTTTTGCCATGGTTACAGTTGCTTATAGGTACTTGATTTCACTGTGTGAGCATTTATAAATGTAGCAAATTTGAGCTGTAGCAAATATATTTGAGAAACAAAACACTGAACAAATGTGAATATTGCAGCCCAAAGTATTTATGTATTTATTACTTTCTATAACTATCCGTCTTAATCCAACTGACTCTCTGAAAACTTGATTTCACAGACCTTACATTCATTGGATTTTGAATGACAGGAACAAAACTTTACTTTGGATTTTACATCCAAATGACTTTGGGTATCCTTTGCATTTGGATGTTATACCGTTTCCAAAACTATCTGATATCTGGCAGGATATATGTTGGTTTGTCATTTATTAGACAATTTTCAATAATATTGATTTATCAACTTGTACTTTGGCCACAAGCTAGTAGAGCAATGGATAGCTGGGCCTCTTAGGCTACATTTTTTATCTCGTATCTACAAGGATTAGGTTTCCAGTAGCACCAAGATATTTAGATTTCATAAGTAATTACAAAACAGGCTTAGAAGGTAAAACAAAACATTTTCCTTTGCTGATTTCCATTAATTGGTTTCAGTGACATTTTGTGGTTGAAGTTCCCTATTAAAGCCCACAATAGATTGTCCCCTCTACTAAAGCCTTCCTCAGTTCAGACTACACCAGGCTGGAGAGAGCAACACTTTTGTAAGGATGCAAAAAATAGATAGTGCTCTACAACATAATCTTGCAGTAAAGATGAAGTGGCTGATTATGATAAAACAGGCTGGATTCACCCTAAACTATAATGTGGAACTAAACTATAATGTATAACTTGCTTGTGGACAATATTGTAAGAACCTAAACAATTGTGGTTTATACAATAAACTATAGCTAAACAAGCTTAATGCAATTTGTGAATGCATTTGCAACAGACTTCATTTTATCTCTACCTCTGGAAGCTGGTTATGTTGCCCCCCACTCCAATTTCAAAGAGCTATTTAGAATTTCCTTCCTACACCCAATTCTTACCACTGAAAAAAAATTGTCAAGAAAAATAAACTTCACTAAAAGCCCCAGTTCCTCAAGGAGTTCTTGTGTTTGGCAAAAACATATTAGGCAGATTATAACTTCTCTTTTGTAGTCATTGAAAAGCCTTTCCCTAAATGCCCACTTGAAAGGGCATCTTAATTTCACAGAAAAGAGAAATATTTTTCCTAAAAATATGCTTGAATCACCTAATGTCAGTTTGTTCCTCCAGACAACATCTTTAAAGACTTAGTTACATCCTTATAACCTCACTCACAAATTCCCCTTCTTCAAACCATTTGACCTCTACAACAGGTTCTACATTCCTTTCTAGATTTTATTCATTTTTTTTACCCTATGTCCAAATTCAGCCCATTCCATCATTCTCCGAACTTCTGTTTACCTCCTAGCCAAAAATAAAACAGAGGTCAAATATCTTCTACTGTGCTGCAGTAAATGAAGAGACCCGAAGTATGCAACTTAGCATTTTCCTTACCAGTGAAATACCAGAATGAGTTAGGGTTCTTCCCAATTTCTGCATTTGTCTGTTGCCATTCTTCATGTATCATTTATGTAACAAAAAGATTCTGATGAGTGACTTCTGATGATTTTGTGGACACATCATAATAGTGTTGTTGCCAACAAAAAGAAAGTAGTTTGCCATTATTTTCTCCCTGAATTTTTTTTTCAATGTCCATGTCTAGTTTGGATCCCTGTGATTCTCTGATAGTTTCCTATTCAGATGTTAACTAGAGGTAATACTGTTTAATTTCCAATCCCATAATAGGGTCAGTGTTGTCATTTGTTGAAACTTTTGCCAGTCAAGTCAGGGTGAAAACCAAAAAGAACAACCCATACAAAAATATGTGTTGCGGTATGAATATTCTAAGGTCCTAAGACAACGGTGGTATAGACAAAGGGATAGGAAATACATAATACAAATTAAGAAATAGGGGCTTTTTTCAGCTTCTAGAAATCTGTAATTGATTTACAAAAAACTCCTGGTTTTCCATCCCATTATTTTCTTCAGCAAACTTTTAAACTTGGGGTTGACTTCTAAATTTGGCAATCTCGTGAGATTTTGGTTATTGTAATTTGACATTTGGAGAGCCTACTATGTGATGGGGACATAGATATGCCATAGAGATTCCCCAATAGTTCTTTTGCTCATGCTTCATAATGTTAAGTCTCCTTAAGATAAATGTTTGGAAGCCACAAGGTTAGACTAGGAAGTCTTTGACATACAGAATATTAATATTTCTGGTAAAAAAAAATGCTTCCTTTTCAATTCTTGTTTGATGAACATGATGAACACAACAAAGGCATAAACAAATATCAGTTTAAAATTATTATAAATGTTAAGTACTTTTCCCAAAATAATTTGAAATTAATCTCATGAGATATGGCAAACACTGTTAGAAACCCATTTGTTGCTGTACTTTCACGAAATGTCTATGGAGAGTCTCAGTTATCCGGGTGATAGTTGTCCCAAAGGTGCTTTTTCAAGAGGCAACTGGACTTTCTGGTTTTTATTTGAAGACGTTTCACTTCTTATCCAAGAAGCTTCTTCAGCACCGACTGGATGGTGGGGAATGGAAGGATTTAGACTCCTTGCAGACAGCTGTCCAATTGCATTATTTTAGCAAGTCATTAAGGTCACTGGAGGTTTATCTGTGTCATCAGGGTCACCTGAGTGGTGCAAATGGATGTGGAGTCTTCTTAAAACTATTGAAAGGACTGTGTTGTAGATTGGAGATAGATATTTTCACTACTTTTACTATGCTGTTTGTTGAGGTATTCCCCGTTAGGAGAATGAGTGCACTCAGGGAAACGTAGCGAGAGTGATGATGAATAACACACAACCAGCATACCAGATACACTGAATAGTAAAACGTAGGTTTTACTTCCAGTAAATGGGTAAACAAAGTCCAACAAACAGTCCAAATCATACACAGTTAAAGCAGTTATTATCAGTCCAGGGATAATCCAAAAACAAAGTCCAGTATCATAAACAAAGTTCAGTAAACAGAGTTTGCTAACAGTTGCAAGACTCACAGCAATCCGAGCAGAACGACGATCAGGCAAAACAGCGAAACAGGAAATGCAAGAAGAAGAAACCAGGTTTCTGGCTCCATCTTATGACCGTTGGAGGAACCTCAGCCAGTCACAATTATAGCATTCTCTTAAAGATACAACAGTATTAAATGACTAACCTGGTTTATATATTGCCAACCCAACTGTTAGGCAACTATCATTCCTTACACTGTTGATGTTAGTTTGGGGTGCAACACATTCCTCAGCATTTGAATATTAGGTTTTAATACTCCTTTATGTAATTGGATACTGAATTTCCTTATTGGTAGGCCCCAGTTTGTGTTGAGTTGGAAGAAAAGTTTTCAACTCCATCTCCTTGAGTTCAGGTTCCCCACAGGGCTTGAGTCCACTATTGTTCACCTTGATGACCTATGACTGCCATGCCAAATCTGCTTTGAATCATATTTTGAGGTATGTGGATGACACGGCAGTGGTAGGTCTTATCTGGGACAACAATGAAGATGCTTATAGGGAAGAGGTGAAAGCACTCTCTGGTGGACTGGTGCAATAAAAGTACCGTATTTGCCGGCGTATAAGACGACTTTTTTGCCCTGAAAAACATGCCTCCAAGTGGGGGGGTCGTCTTATACGGCGAGTATATAACAAAGGTCGTCTTATACGCCGGCAAATACGTTGTTGTCACTCGGTGCAAGAGCAACGGGGGCGGAGCTCCGCAACTTGCGAAGCCCCTTCAAGCCCAGCCGGAGTCTCTCTTCCTCCTCCTCCCCCACCCACCCACCCACCCACTCCGCTCGTGCGAGCGGACAGGCAGGCTCCAGGCTTTGCCCCCATCTCTCACCTCCTTCCATCCCCCTCCACCCACCCCCCAGTGGCAGAAACTTCGCCGCACGTGGGGACGAGTGGAGGGGGTGGGAGAGCAGCGACGCAGCTCAAAGCTGAGAAAGCGCCATCCTTGCTTTTGTGCTTCGGGAAGAGTTCGTGTTTTTTGTTTTTCTCCCAGGAATGGGATGCTGCTCGTGCGATTTTCTTTGGGAATTTTTCTCTTCCCGGTTTCAGCCTTTGCTCCGAATCCCCCCCCCCCCCGATTCACTTCTGGAAAGGATGCTTGTGTAACTCTTTTCCTAAGCGTTGCTGGGGTGGAGGGGGGGGCAGTGTGCAGCGTGAGCGAGAGGCTCTTTTCCTTTCTCCCTGAGCGCAAAACCGTCTGCCTTCTTCTCTCTTGGACGGACCGAGCAAGGCTAATAAGATAATAATAAGATAAGATCCTAAGCGCGTTGTGGAAACAGATCTGGATCTCATTGGAGAAAGGTAGCAAATGAATGAACTGGACTTTTGGCAAGTCTCGGGGTAGGAACTCGACGCTTTCTGGAAAGTTAGTGAGCAGGAAAATAGACATCCTTTCCGCTTTCTCCCAGCGTGGGTATTTCATTATCCCTCCCTGTAAGAAGTAACAACCACAAAGCCAAGGGAAAAAACGATGCGCAGGAAAAAGCCACAGTAGGAAGCAAAGATCTCTCCCCCTCCACCCTCTCTCTCTGAAATAATTAATGTCGCAATCAGTGTGGTGCACCCTTGGAGACAAATTGGTTGGGGAGGTGGAAAGATATTAAGAGACAACTCGACTGTTTTTCGTCCAGTTTTATTTTTATTTATTTATTTTCCCCTGAAAAAAGCAGATCGCTCAACGGTGTCACAAAGAAAGGGAGAGGAATTGAGTGCCAGCCTGAGAAAGGCGAAGCTGCCTCTCTAAAGCATTTTGGTGGCTTTGTAAGTTTGGGGGAAAGGGGCGGGGGTGTCAATCAAGAATTATATCCAGAATACCCCAAGTGTTACAACTTACCGTATTTGCCGGCGTATGAGATGACTTTTTTGCCCTGAAAAACATGCCTCCAAGTGGGGGGGTCGTCTTATACAGCGAGTATATAACAAACTCTATATTTTGAGTGGAAATGTTGGGGGCTCGTCTTATACGCCCAGTCGTCTTATACGCCGGCAAATACGGTAACCTGATTCTAAATGTTAACAAAACAAAGATCATTGTAGATTTTAGAAAGAGCCGGCAATCATATTCTACCCAGTATCAAGGATGCAGCTGTAGAGATGGTCAACATACTAAGCATCTGGATACTTAATGCAGATAATCTGAACTGGTCTCTTCATACATCATCCTAAGTGAAGTGTGCAAACCAGCTCCTGCATTTCCTGTGTCAGATGAGGAGAACACATCTTTATCCTTCTGTCCTGGCCACTTTTTACAGAGGCACAGTTGAGGGTGTTTTAACAAACTGCATTACTGTTTGGTTTGATGGCAGCAGTGCCTCAGAAAGTGCATATAGAGTGGTAAGGACAGCTGAGAAGATTATAGGAATCACATTTCCTGTTATTCAGGATACTTCTTATAAGTGCTATGTACTTAGAGCTCAAAGCGTTGTTAGAGAACCCACACACCCACTTTAGGTCTGTTTCTGTTGCTCTCTTCTGGGAGGAAGCTTTGAAATATTTCTAGCAGGATTATTAGATTCTGTAACAGCTTTGTTCCCTATGCCATCCATCTGGTAAACTTGCAAGATTCGTTTTTCTCACCATGTACATGTATACATCCGGACTAGACTGTGTTATTTCTCTGTGTCATATATGTCGGCATATGCATAATTTTGTATTTATACATTTAGTCATGTTTATGTAGAATATATTGGAGGTGGTGACCCTTTGAGGGCTGTATGCAACAAAATTTCATTTTAATGTATGCCGATTAGTGTACATTCAGCGACAATAAATTTATTCTAAGTTCTATCCCAATTATGTAAAAATCAGCACAAGAAACATTTCATTCAAACCAACAAGTCATATTTTAATGAAATTGAGGAGCTTCAATGTACAAGAGAGCTTTCAAATAAACAAAATTCTAAGCCTCTTCTCCCAACTATATCAAGTTATAAATTAACTGAGAAAGTGGAACTTTCAAAATATCATCTCTGTCCTATTTGTAACTTCAAATATGTGGGTTTTTTAATCTTAACGTAAAACACATTCAATTTCTAGAATATGGTTGCACCTTCTTATTCCTCACAGCCAACTCCTATGCCTTTGTTTTAAAGGCTTACCAATATTTCAGGTCAACCATAAATTAATTCCTAATTTACAAATCAAAATTAATTTGCATATTTTTATCCTTAATCCTACACCTCAGAAAATTAAATATGATTCAAAATATTATGTAATTACAGTGGTGATTATAAAGAATTATTTTGATATGAGTCACTCCTATAATAAAATATTGGAATGAGAATCTGAAAAAAATGTTTGACTGTAAATCCAAGACAAGCATGCTCCAAACAGAGAGAGCATTCCTGTCATTATAGGTGGACGGGAACCATTCCCCCTTCCTCCAAATAGCTTTCATCATTGGTAACAAGCTTCATCTTGCATGCTGCATTTGCAGATCTTGAATCATTTTCATTAACCGCAAATCTACAGGTACTACATAAGTGGCTACTTGGACTGTGGAAAGTGATGGCTCAATCCCCATGGTATGAAATTGTAAATCTTAAATCCCTTCAAGGGACACCTGGGCTTGCACGTTCTCTTTTGAATCTTGTTCATGAACTTATTGTTGAAACTTGTTCTCTGATTTCCACATCATCTCTTGAAATCATATAACCAAAGAGATAGTACAAATCAGGTGCCTTGTTCAAGAGGCATATCCATCTCTTCAGGTGGCACTCGAGGCTGGCATTGTGGACACCACCACGTAAGTCTTTTCAATCCATCTGGTGGTCCAAATGTTGCCTTCTTCACCTCATGCCCTTTGGGGCATTTATCTTTCATGTAAATCTGTAGCTGCAATCTTTGTCTTCCCAGCTTGTTGTGGAGCCATGCCAGGCTGAACTGGACAACATGATCAAGCAAAGATTTGAGATCTGTGGATTCCAAAGAGGAGCCAAGGGACAGTGGATGGATCCTTGCTAAATACAGGCTCTCATTTTTAATGATATTTCCTAGAAGAGAGAATAATTCAGGAGAAAGTGAACACTGGAGAGCCTATAAAGAAAGTGAAGTGAAAAAAACAATCCTTACGCTAAGGATTAGCCCTTCCAAACTGGAGTCCTTAAAGGAGTCTTGGGAAATAATCCCCATCATTCCTAACAAATTATCAGGGTGATTGGGAATCACAGGAACTATAAATATTAAGAAAGGCTGCAAGGTAAAAACTTAAAACTAGAAAGTTCAGTCTCAGATATGAACTATATCATTAATCTTCATGGCTAACCTTGTATTGGTCATTCTGTCTAGCTTGTCCTATCTCATAGTGGATATCAAGTGGATAACACGAATATGTTCCTTGTTCTCATTTTGTTAGTTTAGGAAGATATACAGATAGATACAATAAAAACCTACACTTCTGTCAGCTATTTAGGGAACTGCAGGGCAGTTAGAAAACATTTTAGGCAGTGGGCATCATTATGGGATTTCACACATTCTTGTTGTATTTATTAGAGGAGTTATGAAATTATAATTCCTTTTAATTGTACCATGGTTGATTTAATTTTATTGTAAGCCACTGAGAGTTATCAGATTGTGGTGGGGTATAAGCTTAATAAATTAATTCATTATTCTGGATATAAATCTGTAACTCATATTTTTAAAATGGCAGAAATATGTGTATTATGGACCCTGTTCCATTATTGGCCCTCAATGTAGTGTTTAGATAGATGTCAAAGATCCCTTTTTAAGTCAATTCATTTGGAAAATTAAAACTTTTTCAATAGAATTGCTGCCCTAGTAAATTACAACTCCTGCATATAACTCCTATTATAAATCCCAAAATTAAGCATGTATGCACATTTTTGATCTTGGTATCAATTTTGAACCTACCTATTCCTGAGAAATAACTTTGGTTTAGGAGAATGTAGCACACAGGAGTATCTTTTGCAAGGACCTCCAAAGCCCGCTCTCGATCAAACTCCAGGCTCAGAATATCAGTTGCTGGATCAGTGCTAGGAGAAGAGCATTGCTGAATGCGGCAATTATAAAATACCAGAAAGCTCCCAGCATCAAAATGGAGAACCAGCCTAAATATCCAAAATGAAAACAAACACCAATTAATTTAGAGGAGATGAACAGAGCCTGAATTTCGTGAGCCATGTATATGACCCTGAAAAACATGAGAGATTATCCCCAAAACCTTTTTTAAATTGTAGGTTTTAATGTGATTGAAGAGGAAAAATGATAAATACATGATGGAGAATCTTAATTTCTTAATAACTTAAAATTGTAACTGATTGACTAAAATGCAAGGAAAATCTAGGAATTTTTTTTCCTGGCCCCAGCATACCGTTTAAAATAAAATGCACTTCTTGGCCAAGAAAATTATACATTTTTGCTTTGTTAAAAAAAAGAAGAAGCCCTGTTGAACTGTTTCCAGAAGAATTAATCCAGCTACGAGTAGTCCTCGATTTACAACTGGTGACATGTTTGACATTATGACAGACAACCCCTCCCCAAAAGCTATTTACAACAACCTGATTTTGAAATTATAACATCAGCTCCACCTGGTGGCCATAAAATCACATTATGGTGCAATCAGCCCACCTTTACAGCTGTTTGCAACATCCCTTAGTTACATGACCATAATTTATTATGGTTTTTCTGGAAACTGGACTTTACTTCTGATTTCCAGCAAAAGAAGCACCCTATTGTGAACTACAAAAAGAGCTGTAAAATCATATCCAGTCAAATAGTTAGCCACTTTATGACCGTCATGACCATCATCAATTGCAAGGTTCAATTATTGTTGCAACTCAAGGATTACCTGTATAGCAATAGAGCAAAACTCCCTTTGTGCTAACCTGGGAATTGGATCTCTCCAGTCACCTCTTTTGTTTGCTTTATTCGCCCTTGCAAACTCATTGGCTCGCATGCTTCCATACAGACCAAAGTGGAAGCGGAGCCATTTCCAACTCTGCCCATTATTAATATCCATATCAGATGCCAACCGGCTTGTTGACTCTTCTTGTTGACAGCATTCAGGATTGTACATTTCAACTTCGTTTTCTTTCTGGCCCTGGAGAAAGGAACTGCTCCCAGGCATTTCCAGTTTTTGTTCAGACAAATCTGAGGATACGCTATCATGGCTGGGCATTATTTTTTCTTTGGTGCCAAAAGCCAAAAATAAGTTCTTCCCATGGACCTGCAAAAAATTGTTTTAAAAATCTCACATTCTTTACCATCTTCTCCATTTTAATAACCCTGGCAGCACTCCTTCCTTTTTATTCCTTCTTAATTCTTCTTCTTTTGTTTATATAACAACTCTAATGTTTAATAAAAGGGCAGGGGAGAGAGAAAGAAAAACAGATGAGCCTGTTAACTAACAGAAATATCTGGGCAAGTCTTTAGCTATGAAGCAGGAATTCAGGCTGGGAGAGTTTACCTATTAGAACTCCCATAAAACAGGCCCAGAATGGAATTCTTCTTAGGATTTTTTAAACCTAAGGTCATCAACATGGCAACCAGAAGCAGCAGCATGTACATAGCCATCCTACATGGCAGTCTTGGACATCCCAAAGTATTATTTTTTAAATTATATTTCAGAAATATCTGACATCTTGCAAAAGCACCAAATCTATTGGGATTTACATATTCCAACATGAGATCTTGAATACAGCTATCAAAATGTTGTCAAGGCTTGGGTCTTTTTTTTTTTTAATTGGGAGATGCAATCTCCAAAAAATGGCCAATTGTTACACTGCCAAAAACCATTACATGAAGTGCAGAGATAATAATCAAGTCTCTAATTTGCCTGGAGCAAAAAGCTATCTTCTGTATTTTCTACAGTATATGTTAATGTCACATGCTATATAATTTTTTAACAATAATAATGTTGGCAAAACAGCATTAATACAAAATAAGCCAAGGTTGCTATTTAAAAAAAGAGAGTTAAAATATTTATTAGATAGCAAGACTCACTTGGATATCCCACAGTGTCAGTGTTTTCAAATCACCTGGATTAATCTGTCTAGTGCTTCCTCCCACCTTGGATACCATCTTCCCTACGTAGGGAGAACACAGAAGCTGGAACTTCTTTACAGAGGGGCCTTCTGGCATTGCTGCAGTGCAAGAGCACAAAAACTGGAGATGACAGCCGAGTTCCTGACACTGTCCTGACAATCAAGTTCAAGGCTGAAAGAGTGTTGGGGAAAAATGGTTAAAAATGTCATTCTGTGCAACAAAATGTCTATTCCCAGGATGGCCTCCAAGCTTCTAGCCTAAACAACAGTGTCAAATATACACTAAGACTTGCAATAAAGTGGCAGCCCCTAACACAGGGCTGTCAAACTTGCAGCCCACGGGAGAGATGTGTCATGTGCTCGCCCAGTTTGGCGAAGGAGCAAAAATTCACGATACATCACGTGACACCGCAAGTTTGACACCCCTGCCCTAACAAAACAGCTTTAACTTTTTTAAAAAGCCTATTATAATCAGTTGGATTTCCTTTGACTAATATAAGCCTCATGAATCTGTTAAGTCTGATTAAGATTTTAACTAACCTTCATAATTGTGTGATTTGTTTCCCCTAGTTTGGGACAAGCACTTTTCAAGATAGGAAGCCACACTATTAATTCTTTCAGATACTTTAGTGCAGGGGTCTTCAAACTTAACAGCTTTAAGACTTGTGGACTTCAACTCCCAGAATTCCTCCTCCAGTCATGTTAGCTTGGGAATTCTGGGAGTTGAAGTCCACAAGTCTTAAACTTGCCAAGTTTGAAGACTCTTGCTTTAGTGAGACTCCTGGGGAGGCAGAAATGTCATTTTTTATGGCACTACTATCTCACTAATTCTTTGTTTTCTAACATTTAGTAAGGTACATTCAGCCAGGAAAGATTGTTAAAGTAAGAGGATAAAACATAATGAGCAGCAAACTGTTACGTTTTGGGAGTTTTGCACAACTTGTGAAAAGTATAGTCTCACTGTGTTTCAAACTTGGCAACTAAAGTTGTATGGAGTTCAACTCCCAGAATTCCCCAGCCTACATGTTGGAGTCTACACATCTGCCAAGGTTAAGAAACACCAGTCTACCTGACCAATAATGCTAACCTTTAGCAGCAGCAGCGGCTTCAACAGAGATTTGTTAAGTGTACAAGTAGTCCTCAACTTACAACAGTTCATTTAGTGACTGTTCAAAGTTACAATGCCACTGAAATAAGTGACTTATGACCATTTTTCAGTTACAACCTTTGCAACATCCCCATGCTCATGTGATCAAAATTCAGATGCTTGGCAACTAGTTCATACTTATGACCATTGCAGCCTCCCAGGGACTAGCAAAGTCAATGCGGAAGCCAGATGCACTTAATAACCAGTTTACTAACTTATCAACTGCAGTGATTAACTTAATTGTGGCAAGAAAGATTGTAAAATGGGGCAAAACTCAACAAATGTCTCAACAACAAATGTTGGGCTCAATTGTGGTCGTAAATCGAGGATTACCTGCACAAGAATGGTACCATACCCCACCTCCAAACACAGCAAACGTCTAGTTTTGTTGTTAATCTTACCATTTTTAAAAGAAATGTGTCCCGGCCCCTAATACAGACCATCCTAGGTTGCTTGTCGCCAATTATTTATAGGTATTTCCATAATTCTGGTACCACATATATTTTTTTCTTTATCAACCAATAGCAGATTGAAATAACGGAATATAGTCCATTTACAACAGATATTCGGAGCATTATAGGGGAAGAGGTGTGACTGCAACACAAATCGAAATATATCTTACGTTGGAGACTCCTGAAAGTTGCAACAGAAGAACGAAGATGTGTACACGCGCACTCACATGTAGTCGGAAGAAAATGAAATGGAGATGGTACGATCAATGATTTTTAAAAAATTAAAGTTATTTCCCTCTGTAAAATTTAATTAGTGGGAGCTGAAGCCACCAAAGCTTTCACGCTTCAGTTCGCTTCCTGCCTTCTTTCATTTCAAAGCAGGAGGGTTTTTTTTTTTTTTTGCTCCTGATTCGTCTATTCGCCTTCTGAAAGGAGCCATCTCGGCAGACCTTTCCAGCAGAGAACCGAGCGGCTGGCTCCTCTCCATCGATTTCTGCGCAGCCCATCCTATCCTGCGACGAGTGGATTAATTGAGGGCTGGGTGAGAGCCTAGGAAGGCCGCTTAAGCCTTCCAGTTCCGTCTTTCGCTGTTTGAACTGTGGGAGAAAAAGTGAGGCATGGATACGTGTAATCTGAGTTCCCGCAACTCGCTAAAAGAGGCGAAGTGTAAATGCATTTGCACAAAAAGCAAAATTTGGCTAGCATTAACTATGGATAGTTTTGCAGTTTGCGTGAATGTCGGTAGCCATAGTGAGAGAATAAGCTATCCTTTTTCAATAAAGGAGAATATTTGTAGCTCAGGGTTGAAGTGAAGGGGTCCTTGGTGCTCTCTGGGCTTGGTTGTTTTCTTTCAGACGTTTCGTTATTCAAGCTAGGCAACATCAGTTTCTGGGTGAGATCTGTTTAACTTGTACATATCTTAACATCTTGTATTTTATATTTTAAAATTCATGTCATCTGCCTTATTTTAAGTGTGGTGCTGCTGACAGGAAAAAACAAACCTAGTTTGGGTCATGAAAAGTCTGCAAGAAAAGAACCAAGTTCAGAGAGCACCAAGGACCCCTCATATCCTTTTTCCTTGGTTGATAACCTTTATTTTCACATTTTTTGGCAACTCGGGTAGAATTTGCTTTGGAATCTATTTTCTCCATAAAAAGGGCAAAACTTTTTTTAATGCTAACATGAGCTTGTACAGATTTTCTTTTCTCACAGGAAGCTTTCTTTTACAAAGGTTTTCAGGGTGTGTACAATGTACCCAGGCTAAAGTGCCTTAAATAAGTTTTGAAAGTATATGCTGGAGAAGACAACCCTGGACAGCCAACAAAATAATAGGTTCATCAAAGAAATTTATGTAGAGTTTTTATTCAGTGTCACAAATTACTAGGCTCAAATTATCCTACTTTGTACATATTATGGAAAAGTCTTTAATGCTTAGAAAGGTGGAAGAGGACAGCCAGCAGTAAGAGGGATGGACAATAGTGATGGGTGCACCACTGGTAAGATCTGAAGGACCAGGTTAAGGATCAATCAATGTCTTCTTACACCCAGATTTCTTGAAGTAGTAACAATGGTAACAATTAGCTTCCCCCTACAGCAAACCATAGATTTCACCTCCAATACCAACATCCTACATTCAAAAGCTTTCTCAGTAGGGCCTAATAAGTCAACTTCAGATAACCTGGTAGGAGTTTATTGATGCTTTATGAACAAATCAGAGATACCAGATGAGTCAGAAGTAAACACATTTCAAGTGTATGTAATCAAGTTTATTCTTACTAATATCAGCTGGAACTAGAACACAGGTGCTGATAATCAACTTATTCCTGGCATGGCAAGCATTGGGAAACATTTACTGAAACTTGCAATGTTTGCTGGGTTTAAGGTGAAAACAAAACTACAACTTAGAGGTACACTTGTTCCTTCCTTCCCCAAATCAGTATTATGTACGAGCTAGCACAAAATTATGTAGGTGTATTGCATGTGCAAATTGGGCACTCCTGTTTGGAAGTGATTACTGAGCTATATATTTTAATTTGTATGTTTATTAGATACCAATGTAATATTCAATGCTGAAAATATTGTTCAGAGACAAAACTGCTAATACTATCTAAAACTGCTAATTGCTATCTTCTTCCTGCTGCTGGGGCCTTGTTACTACAACTAGGACAATTAAAATAGAATATATGTGACTATTTTGAATAGAATAGTGCCAGAATGTGTACATGAACATTTCACAGTAAAACTACATTGATAGTTTAAAATAAAATTGTTTAAATGTCTGAGATTGCACTGATCCAAAAACATGCTACATCTTAGAAAGAATAGGGATTTAGCAAATGTCCTACACTGGTAACCTCTTTCACTAAATCAGGAGATAGATAAGGTAAGTGGATTCTAATTTTCAGAGATATCAACCTGAATCAGGAAACTATTTCAAATGGGATTCACATGAGTGCAGTGTCTACATTTCCTTCTCACTTTAGATCAGTCCCTGAATAACTAGGATTCTACAGTTGTTCATTCTCACATTTATAAGAAGCATGTATGATACTCTAGACAAGTTTTGGTATACAAGCAATGCAATCTGAACCAAATAATCAAAATGAATACCCAAAATGTGAATCAAGCCAGGGCTGCCATCCACAGGGGTCGCCAACCTTTTGGACCTCAGGGACCACCAAACTCATAATTTTAAATCCCAGGGACCACTAGCCAGTTCTGTGGGCATGGCCTAATTTGTGGGTGTGGCTTGGTCATGTGACTGACTGGGCATGGCTTTGTAAATATAAGTATTATAAATATATAAATATTTAATTTTTTATAAAAAAAAAAATTACCCAAAAGCAGGCAAAGCAAGCAAAGCAGGCAGGCAGATTGAGTTGCTCACAGAATCAGATTCATTTAGAGATCTGCGTTTCTGCCATCGGCTATCTGAGTCTATGCTTCAGTCCTAAAGAAGGTTAGGCTCTGCTTAACAGAGCCGAAGATCTAAAGATTAGCTAGAAAGCAAGAAATCCAACTATTTCCTACTTTCTAGCTAATCTAAATCTCCCAGCATAGCAGAACAGCTGATGGTCAGGGGGAAAAAAAAGGGAAAATAGCAAATTAGCAGGCAAGTTTACCAGGTAAGGAGTGAGTGAGTGGGGAGGGTTCCTGTGGGCCATCCCGTGCAGCCTGGATTAATTGCTTTGGGGGGTGCTCTGGGGGTGACATTTCTCTACGGCCCACCAAAATTTTGTTGTGGACCACCAGTGGGGCGGTGGCCCACAGGTTGGCAACCACTGCACCGGACAATAGCAACAGATTTTCAAGAAAATCTCAGAACTGAAGAAGCTTCTTGGATGAGAAGCGAAATGTCTTCAAGGAAAAACAAAGTCCAGTTGCTTTTGAAAAACCAGCTTTGGGACAACCATGACCTGAATATTGAGAATCTTCATAGAGATTCAAGAAACGTTTTAGCAAATTCCCTATCCATAATTTTTCATCCCCTTCACTTCTAAACTTGAGGTATTTAGAATAAAATCTGGGACCTTCTACATGTAATTTATGATCTAAGAGTCATAATTTATTCAAATTCATTAATTGCTTCTTGTTCTAAACATTTTGAAACTATCACAAAAGTTCTGAGAGTGAATATTACAAATTTACTGATGATTACACACAAAGCTTTGTTTCTGTAAACCAGAACAGAACAGTGGTGGTATTCTACCGGTTCGCCTGGTTCTGGCGTACCAGTAGCGCAGAAGATCAGCTGAGACCGAACCGGTTCTCTGAGAGGCTGCTGTTGGGCCCACCTGCCCGCCTGGGCTCCCATACTGACCTTTATTCCCTGCTTTTGGAGCACAGCTGCTTTGTGCAGCATGGCAGATTGCCATGCGTCAGCTGCTGAAGTGACAGGGAGAGTGCAGGATTGTAGGAGGTGAGTCGGAAAGCTTCTGTGCCTGCGTAAAGAGTTTGGCGTGCATGCGCAGTGTGTGTATGTGCACAAAGCACACCCACCAAGCCACGCCTACCGAACCGGTGGTGAACTATTTTGAAACCCACCACTGGAACAGAAGCTTCAAAATTCTATATTTTGCAATGGTTTGATTATTTCATCACAGGAGATAATGTCTTTCAACACCAATATTTACTAAAGACAATCTAAATGTCAAAAAACATGGATTACTACTCTTTTTTCTCCTTGTATTGTATTGGAGTGGAGTTGGGGCGACTGAATGGAGCTGAACATTACGGGCCAGATGCCCTTCCTGACACATATATGTTTGCACCAGATATTTTCTCTTTGCGCCCAGAGAGAGAGAAATATCTACCGCTATGTAGGATTGAATTCATAGCCTCCTGACTGTGAGGCAAGAGTACCACCTCTAAGCCACCATACCACTCATACATTAATAGTGTTTTTATCTATCATTTTTTCCAGGCATTGTGAAGGCAAGCATTAGCAGCATCTGGATTCAAAGCAACTATTAAAAGTAAAAATGACTATTAAAAAAGAATGAGATTGAGTGAAAACAAGTGCCCAATCCTGCCACTGGGTCGTGTTCACCTTAATCATAAGTATAAAATCTTTTAAGTTTTATTTAGTACTAGCACCATGCTTAATATTAGAGAGAAAGCAGACTTCAATTCAAATTATTTCCTTATCCACTACCCCTGCCATATTCTGAAATTGGTGTCTGTTAATCTACAGTCACCCATTCCAGCTGTCCCTGACCTTTATCTGTAAAATTGTATATAAATCATAGATAATCCTTCTTTCAGCTGGAAAACACATAGGTAAAACACTATGAGTTGGTTGCTTTGAAAGGAAAAATAGATTTATTAATAGCAAAGGAGGGGGGATTAATCAAGTTGACAGAAAAGCAATTAAATTAACACCAGTGTGCTGCTGGTAGTCATAAAATTGCTGGATCCACAACATTCTTGCTAGAATCCACCAGCCATAGTGGATTGCAGCTATGTTTGAAGACAAAACTGTTGCTCAGTTCCATACTTTAAAAAAACAACTCTGGAGTCCTCAGTTCACAATTGATTGCAGAATTTGCCAACCACACACCTCCATTTTCTTCTGGATTCTTGTGGGCCACCATCCTTGAACATCCATTTGAGTTTCTTACAATCAAAGATAATAAATTTTGATCTGCAGTCTCTTTGGGGAAGAATAATTTTTATAAATCAAAATGGGAAATAGAAAACCAAAACTCAAGCCTATGCCAGCAACTAGCCTTTTTTCCATTCTTCTTTGCATATACTACTAGTTCTTTAGGCTTCGAATTAGCAACGGGATAGGTAGCTATCACATTTCAGCAGATGCTGCTAGTTCTTTTCTTCTGGCTTTGAATTAGCATGGGATGGATAGCTATCACATCCCAAATCAGGAAATCAGATCTTTCATAAAGGCCACTAGCCACTGATCCTACACAATACAAAGTTTAGGGATATTGCTGGCTTATATATTGTTTTTGTTTTATTTTTTATGTTTTTTTTAACATCCATTCTATTTTTATGGGCTGGCTTATACATTCTTTCATTTTTCAAAAGATGATTGAAGACTGAACATGTGGAAAGCTGCAATTACAATTTTCTTTTCTAGCTCATACATACCCTTCACATATACACACATAGACAAACATACCATTTGATATTACATCTCTGTATATCAGTTATGTATAAACATGTAATATTGGTGTCCAGGTTATCTGGAGGATTTCTTAAAAATAGAACTCGAACAGGCCAAAAAAATTTGGAATGGTTCTTCTAAGACCAGAACTAGTCAAAAACAAAGGATGGGAGGGAGAAACAGGAAAAGAAAAAGAACAAAACAGTATTGCTTGATAGTTGCCCATCGCTTACGAGTCCTAAGCTTGGTAACTCCCTTAGAAGGGGGTGAGGAGGCAAAAGATTGTTAAGCTGTGAGGATGTCTCCATGTGTTTCCCCCAAGACTAGGCTGTTCCAGGAATCTTGCTTGGTGTTAGGCTGGGGAGAGTGGTTGATGGCTGCTTGGTAAGCCTGTGGGGAAAGTTTGAGAGTAGGCACAGTGGAGTGAAGAGCAGGTCCATGCCCAGACATTGCCGCAACAGAGAATGCCTAGTGGGGAGAAGGAAAAAGAAGAAAAAACATAAATAATGGGAAGGAAAAGAGAAAATAATGCTATTTCATCGTTTGCCTGCAGCAGTCTCTGCATGGGGCTCTGTTTCTCCCATTTCCCTTTGCAATGGTCACAATATAAACCTTTGGACCAAACTACCACATACACCTATACAGTTTGCCCTAAATTATCAAATGATCAAAAGGCATCTTTTGCTATTTCATTGTATTTCATTGTGAGCTATGGTTAATTCGGCCTTCTCCATAGCAGACTCTGTGCTACTAAAAATTTTGCCACTGAAACTGAAGCCTTATAATTTGAGAAACTAAAATGTACTTGTTTATTGAGGCCTATTAACAATTTCAACTGTTCCACTTCTTTTACAGATTGTAAAGCATGATAATATTTTGTCTAAACATTATCTAAAGTAAATCTAAATGATACTTTTAGATTTAGCTTAATTATATTTCTATTGTTGCAGTTGTATTTTTGTAACAGTCTTAAGCCATCAGCAGCACATTAATAGGTTAAATAAATTGAAAACTCAGTAAACTTTCAAAATCCCCAGCCACACTCCCCAGTGAATCTGGCTTCCCCATTAACTTTGCTTGTCAGAAGGTTGCAAAAGCTGATCGCAACAATGGCACTAAATACACTGTTGTAAGTCGAGGACTACCTGTATATAAATCACATGGACACAGTCTTCTCCATTACAGAGAAATGTCTTACATCTGGAGAGATCCAGAATAGGAAAAGTTACCCTAATGTACTCTGATTATGCAACCTTTGCTTTAGAAGCTTAAAGTATGCAGGTGGGTGCTGGAGTTTTATTAACAAGCTCACCATGGAACGCTGAAGCTTTAACTCAACTCTGTTCGGTTAAATTCAGTGCAGGATTGTTAAGAAATTAAAATACAGAGAAAGCCATGTGTGTCTGATTTTGAACTCCTTGACAGAAAGGCAGAATACAAACGCAGAGCCAATAAGCAATGAGACCATATGACTATTATTATTTTTTTGCATAATAAAAAGCTTCACCTGAGGAATAGGGCTCAGGTGTCCATAATGAGATGAGATCCCTGGTTCTGTCTTGATGGGGCGCATTTCTTCAGCAGTAGTAGTGGTGGTTGTGCTGGTGCAGGGGGCTGAGCTAATTGCAGTGGGGAGGCTTTCATTGGTGGCTGATCCTAGGGTGGGAGGTGGAAAAGGGGGAGAGAAACTGTTAAAGCAGATCTGCCCTGAGACTTAGCCAAAAATTAAAGTATTTGCTGCTGTAATAAGAATAAATGTTAAATAAGAAAAAAGGCCAAATGGATCTTCATCAGGAAGGTTTTCAGAGAAAAACACCTTGCTATAGCATGACATTCAGCTCTTAGGTTGATGCCCAGATACCTGCAGGACCCCCTTCTCCCATCTGAATTGGCCCACCCAACATGCCCATCTTAATGGCAGCAGCTTTGGTCAAACTCCAGCAATGAAATAAGGGGAATGGAGGGCAAGGAAGTGCTGTCTGCTCAACCTTGGGAAATACCTTCACCTTAGAATGCAGGCTAGGTTCTTTCTAAGGTTCTTACAAGGTGGAATTATTCCAAATACTTGATTAAATACTTGGTTCTCACCAAATTTATTTCACTTTGGATTACTTATCTGTATTTTTTTTTATATATAGAAGGTTTTGTTGATAGTTTTATAACCTGTCACAAGGTCTATTTTGAATTGGTGGTATCCAAGGGGAATGCCTGAATGAGTGAGTGAATGAATGAATAAATGAATAAATGAAAGAATGATTGAAAGAAAAGTGATGTGCTTTATTTGAAGGACCACAGAATTCCCATGTTTGCTTTTGGTATACTTTTTCACAGCTTTGGCAGACATTAAGCTTAAATTGTAATTACCACTGAGTCATATTAGATAAGATAGTTTTTTTTTTTTTTCTAATTGTACTCACCTGCTGATGTCTTGGATTTGCTCAAGTTCTTTGGTTTACGCTTCCTGGTTTGGATCCCTTCTTTTCTCATAGCTAAAGGTCTTGGAACCTATAAAGATGCATTAGAGATCAACATTAATCCCCTAGAAAAATCTGCACTTTTTGAATGTACAAAATGCTGTGAGTAGCTCATTGTTTTCTTAACTGTGATTTGGGTGTGCTCCCTCATGTTGACACAACAAATGCAAAATGAATGTGTGCTGCCCAAGAGATTTTCTGGAGGCAGTTTACAAAGAGACAAGAAAATGGTAAACTGTATTTTTGTTACCTTTTGACAGGCAAGTCAGATTCATAATGTGAGGTATGTATTAGGAAGAAGCCTCTTTCAGGCTATAAATAGAAAGAAGTATATTTTTGTTATTGTTGTTCCTTGGCTGTTTGTTATAGCTTTTGATTCATAATGGGCTAACTGAGGTCATTGTGCTGCCAAAAGCTATAGTCCCCCTGTACTGATTCAAATACAAATTTAAAACATTTTTAAATAATTATTTCTTTTGAAAATTGTTCTGCAGGTTGGAAAATAGATAGTGCTTAGTATATTCTATTTCTTCACCTATTTTTCCAGCAATAAGGCTAAAACTGTTTTCATAGCTGCCAACCTGCATTGGCTCAGCATGGCAGATTATGTTCTATTCCTTCCACATGCCAGTACAACCTCAAAAATGGCCCTCATTGCCCTGAGGCTATAGGGTAACTACCCATGGCAGTGGGCACTACCCTGCTAAGAATCACTGGGTTAAATCAGGCTGACTTTGGACATAGAAATTGTCAACATTCAAACAATGAAAATGACTGCTTGACCAGAAGAACTGCTGATTGAACTCAACAATATGCATCGGGCAGTGGTGGGATTCAAATTTTTTTACTACGGGTTCTGTGGGCATGGCTTGGTGGGCATGGTGGGAAAAGGATACTGTAAAATCTCCAATCAGAGGTGGTATTTGCCGATTCTCCAAACTACTCAAAATTTCCACTATCAGTTCTCCAGAACTGGTCAGAACCTGCTAAATACCACCTCTGGCATTGGGATATCATTGGATTATGTGAAATACAACAAAAAGGCAAAAAATTAATTGAGTTTGAGAAGACTCAGCATTTACTCTACACTAAAGGTACCGAAGATGGACGATGTGATGGAGTTGGTTTTCTAATCAACCAAAAGCTGGAAGACTTGTAAAATTTGAAAGTATATCAGACAGAGTAGCCCAATGCATAATTCAGTTGAACAAACAATACAAGCTTCAAATCATCCACGCTGATGCTCTAACAATAAGCTATATAGTGATAATGAGGTAGTCGAACAATTTTACAAAGATGTGGCCCATCTTCAAGACAAAAGAAAAAAGCTGATACAAAAAATGCTAATGCTAACTTTAATGCAAGAATAGCAAAAACAGTGCCTGGGGGTGGGTGGGAAATTGGTCTGTATGGAAATGATGAACAAGATAATAGATGTGACAGGCTAAAAGATTTTGCTGAAGGACAGGAACTTTACATCGTGAACTTATTTTACTAGAAAAAAGCTAGCAGAAAATGGACATTGAAGAATCCATCTAGGTACACAAGCAAAATTGACTACATCATGTCAAGTGATAAAACCATATTCTGCAATTGTCACCAATCATTTTAATGTTGGAAGTGACCATAGGATGGTATGAGCTAAAGTAAAGATAGACTGTTGAAAAGAGCATATGAAAATGATAAAGATGTCATGAAAAAACAAAAATAAAGAGTGATTAGCTGTTAGAGAACAGTAATTTTGAGATTAATCTGTCAAATCTCTTTGCTCTATTACAAGATTTCAAAGAGATGAACATTACAGACCAAAATGAACAAATAGTCAAAAACATCCTTGAATCTTACATTTATAGCACCACCAGAATAACACTTAGTATAGTCAAAAATATCTTATGAGCAATTGATTTAACGAAAAAACAATGGACTATGAAGAATATTGGAAGTTTCAGTAATAAACTGGAGTACATTGAACTTTGCAAGACCATAAGAAAATGTATCCAAGAAGAAACATGCCAATTTAACATGGAACTTGTGAAAAGGGCAGTTGAAGAAAACAAAGAGATTAAGAGAGCAAAATGCAAGCTTATAGATAACAAAAAAAGAAGTTTTTGCATTCAAACATGAAGATGGTTTGTGTGCAGAACAAGATAGGAAATGTTAGAAATAATTGGAAAATTCTATTCAGAGCTATACAAAGATCAAGATCACTCAAAAGTAACAACACTCACAAAATAGGAAGTGCCAGATATCCTAGTGGGGGAAGTATCAAGTGCCATAAAATCAATGAAAAATGGCAAAGCTTCAGGAAATGACTGTGTTATGGTTGAAATGCTTAAAAGCTGGCTGTCACAATTTACACAAGATACTAGCAAAACTATATTTGAGATGCCTCAGAGAAAAAATACCCAATGCATGAAAAAATACTGAAGTGATTCTGATACACAAGATGATTTAAAGAACTATCACCCAATAAGCCTTATTTCTATTATCTACAAGATTTTCACCAAGATAATAGCAAAAAGAATATTAAAAGCATTAAATAATGCACAGGCAAAGGATCAGGAAGGGTTCAGAAGTGGCTAAAGCACAATGGACCATACCTAGGTTGTTCAGCAAGTTATTGAAAGGTACAACGAGTACACCATACCTCTGTGCATGGCTTTCATTGACTATGAAAAGGTGTTTGACTCAGTAATTCCAGCAAGCAATAATTAATGCATTGCTCAACCAAAGCTTGGACATTGCTTACTACAATCAATATATGAAAAAACAATTTGCCTTAAGGATCGTAAAGTGGAAATCAACATAGAAGGAGGTGTACAAAAAGGCAACACAATATCACCTATCCTTTCTCAGCCTGCCTTGAAGAAGTATTTTGCAAACCAGACTGGGCAAAAAAGATGGAATAAAAAACAATAGCGCTTATTTAAATCACTTAAGATTTGCAGGTGATGTTATTCTCTTCTCACAAGACCCGAAAGAGCTACAAAGACACATATAAGAACTGCACAAAACAGGAGAACCATTTGGCTTAAAAATAGATCTGAAAAAGAACCAGGTTATGTTTAATAAATTCACCAAAGAAAGAATTTAAAAAAAATACCTTGAGAACTAGACCACTACATATACCTTGGCCACTGGATCTCAATGGAAGGTGATACAATAAAGGAAATTGAATGGCTTGTTAAATGTGGTTGTCAGGCATTTGGCAATCTAAGCATAATTTTCAAGAATAACCTCCCTCTATGCCTGAAGAGAAAGGTTTTTGATTAGTGTGTGCTACCTGTTGTAACATATGCCAGTGAGACATGGACACTAACCTCACAATCGATACAAAAGCTATGAGTGGTGGAAAGAGCCATGGAAAGAGAAATGCTCGGCATTACAAGACAAGATAGAAAGACCCGCACATGGATTAGAGAACAAACTGAAAGTATATTATATCATCAAGGGAGTAAAAGAATTGAAATGAAAATGGGCTGGTCCCAAAGCAAGAAGAACTGATGGCAGGTGGATGAAGGCTGTCATAGAATGGATCCCGCTTGATAAAAAGCATCCATGAAAGAGACCTAAAACAAGATGGATCAATGACATCAGCAAGTATTGCTGGCCCAATTGGCAAAAGAAAGCTCAGGACTGTATTGATTGGAAACAAGTAGAAGAAGCCTTCATTGTGCAGTGGATAAACAATGGCTAAAATGATGATGACGACGACGACGATGATGATGATGATGACAATGGAAAAAGCTGTTTTCAGTTTCCATTGTTTCCCATAATAGAACTTAATGTTCTTGTTCTTTTAGAAAATGAGAACTTTCAGAATTGTTGAATCAACAACTAAGTCTACTCTGGGTGAAGAGTCCTAGAAGGACACCTCTACTAAAGGCCAAATCCAGCCCTCCCCAAAAAACACTCTTCAGATCAGGGGTGGGATTCAACCGGTGTTACTACCAGTTCGGTGACTATGTTTTGCCTGACGCGCGGCATGCGCGCGTGTAAAAAAACCTTAAGCTGTGCCACCCGGACAGTTGAAAAGCACTGCGTGCAAGTGCACAGCATTTGAAAAGCCTCTTTTTTGCCTGCTTTTTCAACCTCAGCTGTGCCGTGCAAAGCAGCTGAGGTTGAAAAAGCAGGAAATAAAGGACAGGTAAGAGCCCAGGCGGATGGGTGGGCCAAATAGCAGCAAACACAGAACTGGTTCGGTGTCTGCTGCTCTTCAGAGCTACTGGTTCTTTAGAACCAGGCAGAACTGGTAGCATTCCACACCTGCTCCAGATTTATAAGAGCAACACTATAAATCCCCAACCAGGATGATTGGATTTTTTCCCCCACCATTTTCCTCCTCTGCCCTCCCATCTTTGGCTTCAAAGTAATGCCCAGAAGGGGCAGTTTCTTTGCACTCTTTATTAACAGGAAGCCCTACACAGGGAGAAATGTCCTGATGCCACCTTCTTGATCTATTTCTTACAAAGCAGCCTTCTCTGGTGCCCTCCAGATAATTTTACATTCTCAGAATTCCCATCCATCAGGACTTTCAAACTGGGGGAAACTGCCATAAATAAGTTATGCTTTGTTTTCTCCTCTCACCCCATGGAGCTTCATGTATAAGCCACAAGCATTGCAGACTGGCTCTCCTTCAGCATTTCGGCGCCACAGTGTGGTTGTAGATGTATGGCAGTTTGCACATGACAGTCCAATCCGACGGGAGGCTGACTGTGAGCACAAGAGTTCAAAGCAGGAATAACTGATTAATTCACTAAGATTGAGCTTATCTATCAATCTTTTTTTTACTAATTATCATAACTTGCTATAAAATATGCCAAAACAACTAGACACAAAAACAAAGTTTTCCCTCCATGCCATCACTGTGCTAAATACCTAATTCCCACAGCACTGTCTTATACCTAAGGATATTTACTCATGCAGTAGGGCTGTATTGCTATTATCTTTCTCATCTTTCCTATTACCTTCTTCAATGGCAGGGATGTCAAACTCGCACCCCACCCTCATTTTAGCGAAGGGGGGAAAAGTCGCGATGCATCATGTGATGACAACGTGACACTGCGAGTTTGACACCCCCGTCCTATGGTATCTTATGATTTATGATTTTGTTGTTTGTATGTACACTGAGAGCTTATGCATCTGAGACAAATTCCTTGTGTGTCGGAGGAGGAGGAATAAGCTTCAGAGCCACATTGAAACTGTGTTATGATATACAACCTTATAAATGGTGTAAATCTAATTTGCTTTTTACAGGTCAAGATTAATAGGAGATAAGTGGGATTGAAACACAAAGGAGATTCTCACAGCCTGTGAACATTTGCATCACATTCCTTACCAGCCTCCTCTGGGGCTTGATCAGTGGCCGGTTAATGCCATTCATCTTGTGGTAGAGTCCACATGCATTACAAAGATAGTGGCCAGTGCCATCTCTTCGCCACAGTGGGGTGGACATAGCACCACAGTTGACACATTCCCGACCTTCGGAGTAATCATCAAAAAACTCTGTAGGCACAAAACGGGAAAATGAAGTCAGTCATCAAAGGATTTTTTCATGTAGCCATTTCACAAGTCTTTAGTATAAACTCTTGAGTGGCTTGAATACCCTTCCTTAGTCTACCAGGATGGTGCAAAAAGCTGACGGTTGTTATCTCCACCTTTTTATTTCAAGTGTTTTTGGTTTGCTTTCAAAGGATCAAATCTTTCTACCACACTTCACATAAAAAAGACAATGCATGTCAATTTCATGAATTATTTTTACTAGGAATCTGCAAGTGGCCTACACAGGGAAAAACTTTGCAGTTTTGTACATTCATATGTGTTGGATAACAGTTATCATTTCCAGATAGCCCAAGCAATGGCCATGCTGGCTATGACATTAAGAGTGTTTAAATCCAGCACATAACAGAAACTATCAAGTTGGAAAAGCACAAAGCAAGGCCTCCCAATTACTGTTGTTCCTAAAATTGAACAGTAGAGGGAGATCTTATTTCAGCCTATGCCAGAACAAATGGCAGACCTGTATTATTTACACTGCTAACTTCTACAAAGAGGTTGGATGAATTTATCAAATATTTAAAGACCTATTGTATTTAGAATGTGTAGCAGATAGACTGCTCTGCTTCTGTCTCCTTATTCAAGTCTGAAAGTTGGTCAAGGGATTTACGCATAACACATTAAATCTGCTAAAAACACAATTGCAGGACTCCTATAATTAAACCATGCCCAAACCAAAATAATAATGAAAACATATTGCTAAAAACAATAATTGGATTCAGACAACCTATTAGGACAATGGCTGGATTTCCATAAGTAATGTCAAATGCCCAACTTTGTTTTAGTTTAGACACTAATATATAATATATTGTGGGAATCCACTGCCTTTCCCCTAGATAATCTTGGCTCATTATGAAAATATATCCAAGGTTAGATCTGTTAATCTTCCTAAGAGATACCCTGAAAACTTCCAGGGCTGGGGCATTTAAAAAAAAAAAACCCTGAAGAAATAATGAAAGCCATTACTGAATTGCCAGAAGATATTTGGAATGGATATTTCCAAAATGTCACAAGAGTTGAACTGGTCCAAGAAAAGCTCTTGAGGTGATATGGCATTATCTTTTTTTATATTTCTGAGGAAATTTTCACTCTGACAAAAGGTGGCTCAGTTGCATCTGGAAAGGCTTGTAGGATCAATTCAGTTTTCTCTCTTCTCTTACCTGTACTCAGACCTGTTTAATTATTTTGATGGGATTTGGATGGCAGAAGTGAGAAAACTAAAGAGACAAATAGATAAAGACAGCTTGTTCTTGTTCTTTGATATTTTAATTCAGCAAAATCTTTAGCAAAAATGATATTTTTAAAAGAATATCAGCATTATTGCTAGCATATATATATATATATACACACACACACACACACACACACACATATTTATGTGTATCACAATCCCATCTGGTGCAATACTTGAATGCAGATTTGACTCAAGTGTTCCTCCTCGTCTCTCATTTATGACTGTCTATGCACTGTCTATTTCTCCCAAATCCTGGAAGTCACCCCAGCTCATTCTCCCCAGCATAGCTATTTCAGTGCCAATATTAGAATCTATCTATATTTTGTTAATGTTATCTAAAAAGGATATCATCAGAAAATTGACTGAGCATCTTGATTCAACTAGAGCAGGAGTGTCAAACTCACATTGTGATGTATCACGTGATGTATCGAGGACTTTTTTCCCCTTCGCTAAACCAGGCCTGGGTGTGGCCAGCATGTGACACATCCGGCCTGCAGGCTGGTAGTTTGACAGCCCTGAACTAAATTATGATGGTTGGTCATGATTTATTGAATGTATCACAGTGGCTGTATTCAGATTGTTATACACCCAATCAGCAATTGTAAAGGTTCCACCCCACCCCTCTAATAGGCATTTACTACGGGTTTAAGGGGAAGGAGAATCAATACTGTCATGGGTGAAGGACATTAAAAAGACATGTTGCTAAAGAAAGAGGAAGATAATTTGCATTTGGCATTCACTGATATTGTGAAGAAACCCCCCTTTTAAAAAAATATCATTTTGTAGCATCTGCACTAATTATGTTTAGAAGACCTTGGGCTCTTAGAAGCAAGAATTTGTATATTGAAGAAAAATGAATCTTCCACAGATGTCAGAGTGATGCTTCTTGGACAAAGCTATTAACCTTGCAAAGAGAAAAAAGACACAATGTAAACGTGTGAATTTATAGACTCAGAAGGTTTAATAGAAGTTTGGAGGATGATTTCAGAAAAACTCACACATATGCATACACCCCCAAGGCACCGTTGCTCTGATCAAAGTCCCTACTATCTCCCAAGCAGCTGTGTCTAAGTTAAGAACAACAGTGTTGGGGGGGAAAAATCAGAGTACCATCTGTTATAGTTGTGGGATTTTGTTCCAAAGGGAGAACCATGGGAGATACAGTAGCTCTTTGCCTCCAAATATAGTTTGCATAATTGTAAACAAAGCAAATACTGTGAAGGTGCTATAATCCTCCTCCAGGTGAAACTAGGAAATATGGAACATCTCGCTGTTAAGAAGGACACAATATAACCAACAAACAAAATAACTGCACTTTAAATAATACCGACTGAAATTGGTTCAGATTCTCTCTCTCTCTCTCACACACACACACACACAAACACACACACACACACCGGGAGGGGGGGAGAAGGAGAGATTGCACACAAAGTCCATAAATTGTCTTCTATTTAGGAGCAGAGATTATAAAACACAAATAATGTATATATGAAATAGTGGAAAAGAAGTATCCCAAATGAAAATTGGAAGAGGGCAGAGAAGAACAAGAGCAGGAGGAAAGACAGTCTGCATTGTCCTCAATTTATATATGGTACACACTGGAGCTGCCTGGGATTTATCATGTAGGAACAGAGGGTTGTTTGTGCCGAATGTTAGAATATTGAGACAAAATATACATAATGTCCCGGCCTGGGTAGATAAGCAATGTATTTTTTTGGAAGACATTCAACCTTGACTGTGCCAGACAGAAGCTGGAAAGCTTAAAAAAACTGCCTGGAAGCTTTTTGAAAAACAGCATTTGGTTTGGAGAGTCTCTAATAAATTATAATTTTTTACCCTTTGAATGTGCAGGAATAAGCTAATTTTGTACACTTCAATAATGGTTTCGAAGAATGCCTTTGGGCCTTGAAAGAGTACCTCATCTCTTTAATATTTACTAAACAATCACACTGTTTTTGGCATGCATCTGGTTAAAGATGCAGCTGCTTTAAAAAATCAACTTATTAAAATAACTCATAGCTTTGTCTTTTTTTCAGCTTAATCAGTTTTAATCAATAATAGGAGGATGTTTTGTTTACATAATGTTTAAGTGTTTCTAAAGCATACTGAAAACATGCACAGCTGTGCTGGATACATATTGTATTAGAATTGTTGATTTTCTATTAGTTTTACATACTGAAGGTTTTTAGCAGTTTTACTTTGAGTGTGCAAGCATTTTCAGGCTTCATGCAAATGTGTTGGTGGCGGCACACCCCAATGTTCTCAACCAAGAAAGAGATTAAATTTGATTTAATATTAAAAATGGCAATTTATAGGGAATTTTTGGAAGAGTTCTTAGAACCATTTCCAATATCTTGTGGGAGACAGATTGTACTTTTTGGCAATACCATGATGATGCACTTTTATTGTGCTTTGTACTTTCACAAAGAAGGGCTGTATAAAAAACATATTAAATGGAGGATCAATTATGACTGGTAAAGTAGCAGTTATCAAAAATTATCAGCTTCTACAGTTCATACCTAAGAATTGTACTCTAGGTGGCTGATGCTATAATTATATGAGATCATTTTGTAGAAGCTTTATATAAAAATGTATGCATGAAAAAGAAAAGTGTAAATTATAGTCTTGTCATAGTATCAAATAACTATAGAGTCCAACTGAGAATAGTTCTATACTATAGGAGTGTGCATCAATTCTAGAAAACAATAATATAGGTGAGCCATAATAGGGGTATTTGCAGGCCATATGTTATATTCTCCCGCTGTACAAGATTTCCCAACTCTACCTGAAATTGTTAGAAACTGTTGGAAACCCCTCTTCATGCATAATTATGGTTCTTGTTGAAATTTACATTCTAAAGGCTATCAGTAAAACCTCAGTCGCATTTTCATTTTAATAAAATTTAGCTGTAGCAGAAACAGGCCTGAACAAGTACATAAAAATGGTCCTCTCACAATGTGATGCTCTTCAGCTCTCAGCAGTGAATTGCAACCCAAGAGAATGTGATGGAAGAAGATGGATATGTGTAGGGAACCATGGAGAAGAGGCTTTGAAGGGAATATTCAGAGGACAGTTAAGAAACAAGAGCATTCCTTAAAGCCCCAGAAAGAAGATAATGTTAGGAAAAGGTTCAAACTGATTCCTCTCTGAGTCAGAGTAAGGATAGGTAAACAGAAGCAAACTTGCAAGATACTGTAGCCCAGGGGTGTCAAACTGGTGGCAGGCCACGCCCACCCCAGCTGCATGAAGGAAGAAAACGTCACGATACATCACATGACGGCAATGTAAAACCACAAATTTGACAATCGTGCTGTAGTCTATCTCAATGAAGTATAGATCCAGTCTTCCTATGGGGTCATCTTCATAATCTGACCTACGTTTTGAGCTGACGTATGCATTAATATGTAATAGGGTAGGGATGCATTAGGGATGCAGTGGCTCAGTGGCACTGAGCTTGTCGATCAGAAAGTTAGCAGTTCAACGGTTCAAATCCCTAGTGCTGTCATTTGGAATAGATTATGGGAACTGGAAGCTAAACATACAAAGAATGGTTGCTGGAATTGGGTATGTCTAGTTTAATGAAAAAAAGGACTGGGGTGACATGATAGCAGTGACTCAATATCTCAGGGGCTGCCACAAAGAAGGGAGTCAAGCTATTCTCCAAAGCACCTGAGGGCAGGACAAGAAGCAATAGATGGAAACTAATCAAGAAGAG